AAAAATAGCGTCTTTTACACTTTTTTTAACTTTAAATTTGAATAACTTAAAAAATAATTAATTTTATGTTACGTTACTGGATGTGTATATCAAAGGTTATTAGATGAACATTTGGTGAAATTTTCAGAAAAATTGGTTAATGCCTAGAGGTCGCCGTATTAAAATATAAAGCTACAAAACTTTTTATTTTTTTATAATTTTAATTATATTTTTTTTAAGTCTTAAAAAAAATAAAAATTCAATTAGGCTATTTTTAGGCTTCAGCTTTTTGTAAGAATAATAATTAATAAAGGAGATACTTAGATTAAGGAGATACTCAGATTCATACTAATATAAAAATTACTATGAAGTATTAATTAGTTTTGATTTTGAATAGGATGGATTTTGCTTTCTGTGTTGTTCAACAACTTGCAAAATAAATAGTCGCTGTTCTTCATTTTATGCACACTTGCCGAAATCACCAATAAGTTTAATTTCAGCTCAATTATTTGAATTGAAATATAATTTTGAATATTCTATCCATTAATAGTTTTCCCCCAAGGCAGATAATAGTTAATTCAATTAACTCAAGATAATCTTTTCACTCAAATATTTTCTCTTTGAGGCATTGGTAAGCCCATTTCAGAACTAAACTTTCTTGATTAAACAATTTTGATTTGATGTCAGTAGGGCATTCAAGTAATCAATATCTATTCTTGAAAACTTGGCTTGGAAACATTTAAAAATGGGTTCATCTGGACTCTTGCTATCTCCTCGTAATGCGGTAAATACATGTTTGATGTGTAGCTCATTATGATGATGGTGACATGCTAGCTATAAGAGATGTCCCTTTAACTCAATTTTAATTAAAGTTGCTGCTCCTTTTTTATTACCTGTGTTGCTTGCTGTTGTATCAAAGCATATACCAACAATGTTTTCCAAAATGTTTCAATCTTGCGCAAGTTTCACGGTTGCGTTACATTGAGTTTTACCTGTCAAATCTTTCAACACTTTCAACTAATTCAAACATCAAACATCAATTACTAACATCAATTCACTGACATCAAAAACTAACATCATTTCACTGACTTCAAAGGCACTAGATTTTTGATCTTCTCCAAAAATCCATGCTTAGTCTATCTTCTTGACATTCTAAAAATTTTGAAACATCTAGATCGATGCTACCTGTCATGTGACTATCTGTTACTCTTTTGATCTTTATAAAATACCTAATCTTCTTTCCATTTTGGTTTACGTTATGTTAATAACTGTTCATATGCATTTACTGCTGAAATGTCGCAAAGTTGCTCATTACAAAATCTGACAATTTTTTCCTTTCCAGCTTTAACATTTCAACTTGCTTGATAAATTTTTTTTATTTTCACCTTATCCCCCCATAAATTTAGTAAGCAGTGAAAGACAAGAGTTATCTGATCAAATTGGTACTCCAGCTTTTACCCAAACTTCCTTAAGCTCACCAAGAACAAGTTTAAAAATATCTCTTGCAGAAGTGTCGCTTTTTGAATATAAATGTAAATAAGAGTATCTACCTAACGCATGTTTTTTTGTTGGTAGGTGACTGAAGCTTGATAATTTATTGGTTTCAGGGTAACCAATTAACCAATCTTGATTATTTTATCTAAGGTTTATTGTTATAATAAAATATTTGCTTTTAAAATTAGTTATATCCAATAACTAGTTTTAAAATTATTTTTAAAATTTCAGTTTTGCTAATTGATATAACAACCAACTTTTTTTAAATAAGTTTATGAAATTTATATACATACAAATGTTTATATTGCAAACTATTTAATCACACAACATCTAGTGGTCAATTATGCTCTAAACTTAAATTTTGCATTTTATTTAAAGTATTAAGTTTTTTAAAGTTGTCAGAAAAATTGTCAGAAATGAAACGCCCTAATATACCTAACACCCTATACTAAACACCCATATATATATATATATATATATATATATATATATATATATAATATATATATATATATATATATATATATATATATATATATATATATATATATATATATATATATATATATATCTATCTATCTATCTATATATATATATATATATATATATATATATATATATATATATATATATCTATCTATCTATCTATCTATCTATCTATCTATCTATATATATATATATATATATATATATATATATATATATATATATATATATATATATATATATATATACATATATATATATATATGGGTGTTTAGTATAGGGTGTTAGGTATATTATATTATATATATATATATATATATATATATATATATATATATATATATATATATATATATATATATATATATATATGTATATACATATATGAATATATATATATAAACTCTTATTATCTTTATTTGACACAGGAGACTAGTAAACTATAATGGCTTTTTTTAATTTAGATTTGTTTATTATGTCAGAACTCAATCTACAGTAATTTTTACATTTTTGTAACGGTTTGTTTACTTTTTTTGTTTGTATTAAAGGATGATGATTGTGTTCGGGCATGAAACTTATTGAGGCATAATGTTTTGCCGCTTCCGGATCCATTTTGTTAAAACAATTCACGATACGCTGTTTGAGTTAAGGAATGCTTGTTGCTTGCAAATTATCCTCGTAGACTAAGCGTTTTAACTGACCCCAAAAGTCCTCAATTGGTCGAGCTTCTGGTACATTGGGTGGATTTTTTACCTTTGGCAGGTATTTGATGTTATTGGCATCGAGAAAAAAAACCACTTCATTTGTATAGTGCGAGCTAGCTAAATCTGGCCAGAACAAGTACTCTTCATTTTTAGAATGTTCATCAATGAAGGGTATTAACCGTGACATCCGATGTATGCTTGTTTGTTGATTGCCTTGCCACTTTGAAAAAATATTGGTTTTGAAGTCCCTTTGGGCGGTATAATCAAAGAGACTAGCACCTCTTCCTTGTACTTCTTCTTTCTTTTGAATTTGACGTCACTAGTTGTAGATGACATGTCTCTAGAATAGAAGCGATCGTTGCCAGCCAATGTTGTATTCGCATATGTGAAATATGATTCGCAATCCAAGACAAAATCAAAATTCCTAAAATTGCAATATATATGCCGACACAAAGGTTTGATTCAAGCTAGTTGGCTTTCGCTTCAATGTGGAATCTTTTTTTTCTTGTAATATCTAATATTCGTCTTGTTTTTAAGAATTTTAGGTATATACGATTGGTCACAATTGAATCTTTGAGCTACTTGAAGTTGCGAAACACTGTGATGATGATCAAATGCCTTTTTTAATTGGTTTATGTACTTTTTGTCCATTTTTTTTTGCCTTTGGAGCACTTCCTTTTTTTTCGTTGATAGCCTAAATTATTGTCTACACACTCTAGAGCACAATATATGGTCGCTTTCGATGCTCTTTCATCTAGAAAGTGTTTTACTGTGAGCATTTTTGGCTTTTTTAAATGCGAATTTCTAAATTAACATTTTCTTAGGTCTTCTTGCAAATTTATTTTATATGAAGCCATTTTAAATAATATTTTAAAACTATAATATAATTTTAAAAGAGTATTAAATTCCCTATAAATATACTAATTTATTTCAATGACATGATTATGAATAGCCTACAATAAATTGATTTAAATTTTGTCTCATTTTTTAGTCATCAGGTGTTTAAATAATATTTATATATATGTTTTTTAATATATTTTCTGCATATTTTAATATTTATAGTCCGTCGATGTATGTAAACTTTATTGCACAATTCCCTATTTTGAATATATATATATATATATATATATATATATATATATATATATATATATATATATATATATATATATATATATATATATATATACATATATATATATATATATATATATATATATATATATATATATATATATATATATAAGTAAAAAAATTAGTTATATATATATATATATATATATATATATATATTATATATATATATATATATATACACATACATATATATATATATATATATATATATATACATATATATATATACATATATATATATATATATATATATATATATATATATATATATATATATATATATATATATATATATATATATATATTGTTGCAAGTTTTTTTGTACCAAACAGAGATACAAAACCTCTTGTACATTTTTTTAGAGTGATCAATATAATGTAAATTAATTATTTATTAAATAGATCATCAATTATATATATAAATTTAACTAAATGAAAAAATACAACTCACAACGGTACAAAAAATACAAATACAATGGTATCGAAATTAGCCAGAAGAAATTTGTTTCTATGCCTGCACTTAGATATTATTTTACTATTTTTATTTAATAAGTTTGGATAAGAATAGAATTTCATATTTCTCATTTAAGCATAAATTACAAGATTTTTTTGTAGGGTTATAAGCATTGGACTGTTTAATTATTTTCCATTTAACTATAGGATTCAAATTAGCTTCCTTTAATTTCCAGAACTCCTTTGATAACTCAGTGTCATTTTTATACCTGATAATATTAAATGAATTTATGTGATAAGCATATCTAATTTTGAAAGGTGTTTCACTTCTACCGATATAAAATTTGTTTATAGAAGTTTGGGCAGGGTCATTGGAGGTTAAAATAGCTTGGTATACAATGTTATTTGTTATGCATTTGTTTGCTAAACGGCAGGTCTTTTTATCAAGGCAGTTGCAATTGCTTTTAGTGGTAATTTTGTTGTTGTTTAAATAATAATGATTGTGTGCATTCAAGATAGATTTCATATTTGGCATGCAGCTGTAACTTATGTTTTTTAATTTTTTCCATTTCAGGTCCACTTCTATTTTTAAAAACTGCTAAACCATTGTCCTGGTATAATCCAATTTGGATTATACCAGGACAATGGTTTTTTTTGTAAAATTTTTATTGTAAAATTGCAAAATCTGAAACAAAAGAAAAATTCCTACAAGTTCGCATACCTCAGCATCGTCAAAGGCTCCCATCAAATAATCCCCCTGGCACACATCAAATAATCCCCATCAAATAATCCCCCAGGCACACATCAAATAATCCCCCTGATTTCTTTATCTATACTTGATGGTTATTAAAAAATAGTAAATTTCTTGCTTGTTGAATTAATGACTTATTCTCAGGATCAATAACTAGATTAGAACCCGAAATAGAACCCGTTCTATTGTTGTTTTTGTATTTTGTATTTTTAATGGTTTTTCTTGATTAAAAAATATATATTTATTGCCGAAATGGCATGAAACTTTAAGTTCCATCATAAAGTTGTATTTTTTTCATTTAGTTAAATTTATATATATATATATATATATATATATATATATATATATATATATATATATATATATATATATATATATATATATATATATATATATATATACACACACACACATAGGGTGTGTGTATGTGTGTAGTGTGCAGTATAGGGTTAATATAATATATATTTATCTGAAAGTTATTACTATACGCTATTATTATATACTATTTATTTATGCTATTATATTAGTAAATACTGTTATTATATACCATTTTTACATTAAGAGATCAATATTGAAAACATGCAATTAATAAAATATATTGCCTATATAAAAATTTCCTGCACAAAAAAGGAAAATATCTATTAAAAAATCTGATCTATTAAAAACGTTTTTTTCATAAACTTTGGGCTTACCTTCAGGACATGCATTTTCCCTTCCTGTTATTGATCCATTCAAGCAGTAATAGCCATTTGGACAAGACTTAGGATATTGAACACCATACAAACACTCTGTATCATTTAACACAAAACCATCACAGTAAAACCCAGCTAAACACTCTTTACATGCAGATTGCTCAAACTCATTCTGATAACTACCAGAAAAGCAAGCATGTGGATTAGACGAGCCAATTGGGCAATGATGACCTGGCATACATCTATAATAAAATTAGGCTTATATACCAATAGTTGTGAACTGAAAAAATAAAAATTAAATTAAATTTTTATGTAGTAAAATTATTCTAAAGTTAATTTTATAAAAATTTTTTATGAATAAAACAACTTTTAAAGAATTTAATCTACAGAAATATAAACAGAATACCAAACCTATATTCAGAAGGTCTACTAGTATTTTGGCCACCAGGGCAATAAAACCCTTCAGAACATTTTCCACTTGGTTCAATTAGACCTTGGCTTCCGCAAAACCATCCAGATGTGCAGGAAAGACAGTCTTGAACTCCTTTATTTCCGGTTGAATTTGAAAAAGTGCCATAAGGACAATTTGTAGGAGATGAAGACCCAATAGGACAGTATTTACCTTGAGGACAGATATTCCCTGTAACACCATCAAGAGGTTCTTTAGACTTTGCACCAAGTATACAGTAATAACCAGGATTGCATAGACCAGTGTAGTTAGATAATTCATCTTCTTCACAGTACTTTCCTTGAAAAAAAGAGTAAAATATATAACATAAAAAAAACTAATATACTTCATGATAAATATAATAAAAAACATACCAGGTGGACAAACTGTAGGTTTAGATGAGCCTGCGGCACAAAACTCCCCTATTTTACACATTCCACCAGTGCTAATATTTAACTGAAAACACTGATCGGTATTATTTATAAAGTCCATGGGTTTTGGTGACCATGCACCTCGGCTACAGTACCAACCACTAGAGCAAGACCCAAATGGTTTTTCTGCACCACTATGAGGGCAATATTTTCCAGGATCACATAGTATACAGTCATCAATGCTCGATTTTCCGGTTGCATTATTGTATGTTCCAATTGGACATGGGTAATCTTCAGGATTTTTGGTATTACCTGGACAGTAATGACCTTTAGGGCAAAGATGTTCACACTTAGTAGAATTTTCCAAACAAAAGTAACCTTTACAACACTCCTCACATTTACTTTGTCCTCTTCGATCATTGAATGTTCCTCTTGGACAACCAAGAGGGTACGATGTCCCATTAGGACAAAAAGTGCCAATAGGACATGGCCCACTTAACTCTGTTATTTCAGGTGGATTGGGAAATTTTGATCCTAGCTTACAGTAAAATCCTTCCCAACATTCACCTGAAACATGGCTTTGACCCCCTTCACAATAATACCCTGGATCACAAAGAGAACAATCTTCAAATGTTTTAAGATGTGTATAGTTGCTATAACGACCTCTTGGACATGGAATAGGGTTAGTTGTATTCATTGGACAGTAACTTCCTGCTGGGCATGGGCCATATGTGGGTGGATAATTTAAAAGAGGAGCTTTACTTGGAGATCCAACCTTACAAAAATACCCAGCTGAACATGGGCCTTCAGGAGCTGTTGCATTAAAATATGGGCAATACATACCATTTGGACATGGTTCACATGCTAAAAAACATATTTTTAATTATTATTAACCAGGTACAAAAAAAATCTAAATTCCAAAATAAACAAATAAACTAGAAATAAAAAGTGCTTCATAGTCGCAGCTCAGAAATTTAAGATTTAAGTTTATTATTGGAGTACCCCAAAAATGTTAATAATTATAGTAGGTGGGACACCTGGACACTTCATTTTCACATTAAGTAAAATCTGGGAGGTATCACATTTTCAGAAAATTGACATTGAAAATCTACTAAAAAGTTTCTTATTTAAAAAAACTAAATATATTGACAGAAAATTTAAGTTTATTAAAAAAATATTCATATACCAACTTTTCAAGGTCTTTAATCTAATATTTATACATAAATATCATTAGAATACTCAATGTTAGTCAAAAAAAACATTTTGTAATAAAAATATTTATTTTTGACTATGCTTTTTTATTTTTATCTCATATATTATTATAGATATATATTAAATATATTATTATAGATATATATTAAATCTATAGCTCCTCTACTCTTAAAGGAGAGTAGAGAATATTATTTTAAAAGAGATAATGCACATTTTCAAAAGATCATCTGCTGTTGCTGCCTTAAAAAGAACAACAAATTCATTCTAGTTAATAAAAATTTGGACATCTGATTTAAGTTTTCTGGAAACCTGAGTTTTCACTGAAAATATTTGCTTACCCAACATGATTATGCCCAGGTTGTAGAAAAAACTTATATGTCAGTAAGGCTGGTACTGGTTATAACTGGCACAGTTACTCTAAAATGGAAAAACACTGCTTTGTCTTTTATGTCTGCTTACAAACCTCTAGAGGTTGCTTGTTATTATGCAGTCAAGATTATTAAATAAAAGTATAGAACTAGCTCAACACTGAAACTTTGCCAAATATGCTTGTGTGAAATCGCTTAAGGTAAACCCATAAATGTTAACCATTTAAGGCTAGCACAAATCTTTCTGAGAGCATTTCTAAAATTTACAAAAAGGTAAAGAAACAGATAGCTTCTTAAAGAAACAGATAGCTTCTTCCCTTCTTAAAGAAATTTATTCTGAACAAGAGCAAAGTCTAGGAGCTCAAATCATTCTCAGAACAGGTAAAATATTGTTAAATAAAAATATCTATGAAACTTATTCCTAAAGTATAGAATGATATATATTTTTAAAATAACAGTTTATTTTATGATTAACTATTATTTTTTATAAAATAAACAATTGACTTATATTAAGGAGGTAAAAGTACTCATATTACACTTAATACTCCAGAAAGTGATCAGAGAAAGATTCTTTACAATAACTTTGGTAAGTACCTTAGGACTTAGTCAGTTTTTTGTCTAATCAAATGTAAAAAAATTTGAGGAGAAGTGGTTTTTTTTTGCGATATTAGGAAAAATAATACAAATAAATTTGTTTTGCTGTATGTTAAAAAAATACTACATCGTACTTTTTGAATTAAAGTAGAAAAACCCAGCTTTGTGCTACTACACTTTTCATTTGTTAAAAGTCTACCGCAAAGTCAAATACTAAAACGTTTATAAATTAAATGCGCTTCAAAGAAATCGCCAAAGCTTCAAAGAAATCGCCAAAGTCTGTAGGTTGCGACGTATAATTTGAAGACTCCGAGTTTTTAAAAAAAATGGAGAAGGCGATCTTCGGCTAAAACAACAAAATAAGTTTTTCTTGGTATGCATTCATTATTTATTTTTAATCAAAAAAACTAGGTTCAAACTTTTTTTTTTTTAACATTATCTTAAATATGAACGCAACATATGTTGGGAGTTTGGGATCCCTTTAAAGAAAATATTTTTAGTAAATTTTTTTTGCTGAAGTTTGCATGTTGTTAAATAAAGAAGTTATATTTGAAATAAAGTCATACATAATTTATGCGTGATGTACTTTAATTTTAATTTATGTGGCATAAGTTCAAATTTAAAATGATCTATTTCTTCTATTTCTATGCTATGTTTAGCATGTTTGTTTTTTTAAATTTATCAAACTAAAACTTAACTTAAAGTTTTGATTTTGTACAGGTTCGATCACATTCTATTAATTAATGACTATTATCTTTAAAATTCAAAAACATCAAAACGGTGGAATCAAATATTTTTTGTCAAATAATAATAATAAACTAAATATTTTTACTCATATCTTTGAACCGGTTAAGCTTATATTAAAATCTATTTATTAAAAAAGTTAAACCTAAACGAAACTAAAAATTAAAAAAAAAAGCTTCAATAAACAATACGTATGACAAATATATTTGTTATATAACTTTGAAGTGAAATTTTTGGAAGCGTGATCACAAAAAATAAAAGAAATAATGTAACGTCAATATTTTCACAAACGCATTTCTCAAAACACACATCAGTATATAAGTTATTTATATATTATATTTGTATAAGTATATATATACTTACACTAATATATATTACATTATTACTTACACTAATATGCATTATATTAATATAAATCTATTATATATTTATTAAGTATATAAGTCTATTAAGTATATAAAAAACTATTCACTTGATAATAATTAAATTGCACATTCAATTTAAATTTGAATGCAGGTTTCTGTTTTGTACAAACAATAAATGAAAAGTTAAGAAGTCATTACTGCTAACAGATAGAATAGAATGTTTACTATTTTCAAAACGTTTCATCCCAATGAGAATAGAAAATTTAAACTAAAAAATTAAAATTTGATTGAATTTTGAAAAATCAAAAGTTGTAATCCACAAGATTTTGTAAAAACAATTCTTTTGCTTTATTGTTTTAAAATAAATATTCTTAATCTTTTCATTTTTTATTTTTAACTATTATTTATTTTAAATTAAATTTAAAATGTTTCTGTTGTTTAGCATGTTAACTCCAATAGGAAACAATGTTGCCAAATTATTTCATGTTATCGTCATTTACTTTTAATAAATGGCATAAATTAGCATAAATTTTATTGTTTTTATTTAATATTAAAGCTGCAGTAACATATTTTTTCCAGTAAATAGACAAAATACATTAACATTAAAAATTGTCCACCTTTTCCCTAGTACGCGCTGGTTTGCTTTTAAGTGACCCCTCATATTTGCATACGCAATTTATGGATGGCTCCATGGCAACCTATTTCCAACTCTGAATATGGCTCTTGAAGACTTAAGTGTGCAAAAACTGCGCTAGTTGATAACGTACTTTTAAAATAAGTAATCAAGTATTAAAGTATGTATATTATTAACATAAATAAATACTTTTTTTATATTATTAAGGTAAACAATTTCCAACTGGAATGGAGATACTAAAAAACTTTTACCACATCAAATCAACATTGGAAACAAATGTGAAAAAGTTATCAATACTATATTGCATGCCTAATAAAATGAAAGAGAGTCTGTGTAAAGATGGAAAATGCAAGTGCATATTATCTTTGATGAAAACTTCTTGGAATAAAGCTGGATTTCCAATAGTTTCTGACAAAACCCTTAGAAAGCATCTAGGTAATCTAGAAAAAGAATACTACAGTTTAAAAAAGCATGAAAAGAAAGGATCGCCTACAGATTTAAAAAAACAAAATAATTTTATACAGAAGATGAAGAAAGTGTTCTGGATTGGTACACCGAATCTTAGACATGCCATAATGATTGACAAGAAAAGATTCGATAAAGACAAAGTTGAAGATTTGAAGTTTTTAGATGACTAAGAAAGCAATAGAAAGTTTTTTCTCGGAACCGAGGATAAAAAATATAGTCAAATGTCTAGAGAGAGTATTCAAAAGAAAACATTCAAAAGAAAACACAGCACTCTAGAAGTTACAGAAAATTTGGATCAGGAACCAAATTTTGATGAAAATGATACAGAAATGTTGAATGATTTAGACTTTGAACCTGGAAACTGGACAAGGAGAAAAGAAAAAGAAAAACCGATTACGTGCATAACTCCTAAAGATATTTACAGTGGTAGTGTTGCTCTTGCAGCATCAATCAATGATATATCTCCTGCAGTTCTCCAGAAAGTTGTCACTTCTGTTGTTCATAAGGCTGGCGTGGAGGTAGGTAAATTACACTGCAGCATTTCAACTGCTTCATCACAAATGAAAAAGGTAAACCTAATAACAAGTAAACAAGCCAGAAATGACATTAAAGTTGCTTTAAAAGCCTCCAAATATCCGCCTATCATTCATTTTGATGATAAAACCTTATTAGAGTTAAAAAAAGGCAAGCGATTCAAAAATGACAGATTAGCCGTTCTTTTAAACATTGATGGAGAGGTTTATCTTCTCTGAGTACCTTCTCTATCTTCTTCCTCAAGGGATGATCAGTATAAAGGCATAATGAATCTCCTTAAAGAATATGAAACCGAAGGAAATATTGGAGGGCTTTGCTTTGATACAACTTCCAGTAATACTGGAACTAAAAAGGGTTCCCTTTTTAGAATAGCAAACAATCTAGATATCTTTCCATTATTTCTTGCTTGCAGACATCACATATCAGAGCTGAAGATTGTTCACTTTTGTAATGTTGTGACACAAAGAAAGACACCTGACCAAATAATCTTTTATTTAAAAAACTGAAAGACATATTTGAAACTCCTGATTTTCATTATGATACAAATGATGTTACACAATTTTTTTGGGAAAAGACAAAAGGAACTATCATCGAATGTGCTGCAGTTGAGTCTCTTTATTTTTGCAAAGAATATATTAAAAATGAAAACTCTTTAAGAGACGATAGAAAAGAACTAGCTGAGCTAGTTGTTGCTTATTTGTCTCCTGGTGGTGTAAAAATTAGAAAACCAGGAGCTGTCCACCATGCAAGGTTTCTTGGCATAGCCATTTATTATCTAAAATTGCAATTGCTTTGTAATCAAATTAAATTTGTTCAAGAAGATAAACTACTTTTAGAAGAAATTAATATCATGGCGGAATTCATAGCATGCTTTTATGCAAAATGGTATTTGCAATCTGACAAAGCTATCAAAGCACCATATCTAGATATTTTATTAATACACAAAATGCATCTATACAAAGATGTTTGTGCAAAACCAGACACAATTGAAGCAGTATTGAAATCATTTTACAAACATTCCTGGTATCTAGATTCTACAACTGTACCTCTTTCTTTGTTGGATAAAGACGTTTCTAATGAAGAAAAAAGTAAGATTGCTTCAGCTATGCTTCAACACGACATGCCGAACTCAATACGACATGCCGAACAAATCGCTCATTGACGTGGAAAACAAGATTAAGGTTAAAACGAGAGTTTACAATGATCCACCAAGTTTATCATTATTAGTTGATCAGTTCTCCTACTTGATGTTTGATAGAATTGGGTTGGATAAACAAGGATTAGAGATTGGCTTACCCTCCCACCTCAGTATTGGTATACACAATCAAGCTTTAGAATCTTCAAAGCTTTTGCTAAATCTCTAGTTGTTGTAAATGATCCGGCTGAAAGAGCAGTAGGAATGATGCAACAATTTGTGCACAGATACAATGAAGAAGAAGAAATTCAGAACAGACTGCTTACTGTTGATAAAACTAGATTGGCTACAAAAAAGCCGGGGGGAAAATCTTCAAACTTGTCTAAAAAGAGGTTGATCAACTTTCTATAATGGAAAAAAAGATTGAAAAATAAAAATTGACAACCAAATTTTTTAAACAAACTTTAATATTGTTTTAAATAATTATTAATTAATTAAAGATTTACACTTTTAATTGTATTATTTGATTATACCTATTCGCGGCAAAACAATTCTTTTTTTTGCGCTTTTTTAATACTTTTTAACACAATAAAACAGAAAAAATAGTCATAATCTGCCTTAACTACCCTTTTTATTTGAATATATATATATATATATATATATATATATATATATATATATATATATATATTTATATATATATATATATATATATATATATATATATATATATATATATATATATATATATATATATATATATATATAGAGAGAGAGAGAGAGAGAGAGAGAGAGAGAGAAATAAAAGCCAGTCAACAGTCAAAGCCCAAAATGAATAAAATTGCTATTTTGGCCAGTCATGGTTGATCCATTGATAAGTAAAAAAAATCATAAAATATTTCAAAAAACAGGGTTGACAAATAATCAGGATGTAACTTGGAAAAGGAATATACTAAAATTTCATAAAATCATTTAAAATTTGAAAATAGTTTTATTGTTTACAATATACTTTATATGGTTTATACGATAACTTTAATTGGCTTCAGTCAAAAATATTAAAAATGAGGTAAACTATATATATATATATATATTTTTTTTTGTCACATTTATTTTGATTAGTTTGATTTTACTGGTGATAAAAATCCTTTTTTAATTAATGATTAAAGTTTTTGCTTTATTACTGTTTTAGCAAAAATATTTAATATTTTATTTTAATAATATAATAACATATTATGATTATTGAATTTAGAATATTTTTTCTTTTAACTCTACTTTATTTTTCACTTTTTTTTTCTTTACTTTAAATTGTCTTATTCACTTCCTGTTAGTTTTTATTGCAATTTGCAATAAATGATTTATAGATAAATTTAAAATTATTATGTGTGCGCTTGCGCTTTTTTTTTCTATGATAGAACTTTTAAAAAGTATATTTATTAGGTAAAAATTAGAGATGCACAAATAGTAAATTTGCTAAATACAGAATATTCAGCGACACTTAGTTATTTAGATGTTTTTGAACTGTTTCCTTGAAGTTCATATGTTAACTACACAAAAAAAATCATAAAAAAACTGGGCATTTTTGTTTCATTTATAACTAGTCCTGTCACAACACGCATTATCTGTTGAGTGTTACATCAAACTACATCAAACTGCAAATCATTTAAAAAGATGACAAAAACAAACAGTTCAGGTATATCTTGTATTTCTCAAGAAAATTTTAAAAGTTGTATATTATAGATAGATACAACACAAAAAACTCTAAACTTATTAAAAATGATATCTTCACAACAACCTGAATATAAAGCAGGGTTTAGTTTTAATGGGAATGTCAATTATATGGTGATTAATGCATGTTCCAAAACTAATTTCAATTGATTATTTAAAATACAACGGGTAAAACAAACAAAAAATTAAATACTCTGAACAAGGGTGTGGAGTCACAAAAAAAAAAAGTACCAACTCTGATTGTTAAATTTTCAGAGTACAACTCCAACTCCAACACAAAAGTTTTAAAAAATTCTTTTTTAAAACTTTTTTAGTAAAAAAAATTCTTTTTTAAAATGACTTCTTTAGTACAAAGTATTTTTAAAAAAAAAAATTCAAAATTAAATCAAATGGTATCAAACTTTCTTTTTTAATTGAATTTAAATATCATCTTTAAATATAATTTCAGGATTAGTTTTTTATTTATAGATATACAAAGTAAAATAAAAAAGAGATTTTAAAAAAATATTTTTTATATAAACTCACAAGAACTATTATGCAGGCCCTCCTTGTTACTGAAAGTACCAGGGGGACAAGGCTTCCAGTTAAAACCAGTATTTTCTTCACAATAAAATCCACTTGGACATAGTCTTGGATTTATATGATCTCCAACACAATAGAAACCAGATGGGCATGGCAAACATGACTCTGCCAATCGATCACTCATATAACTACCATCCTACAGCATTTTAACACAATAGAAATGTTTTTAGCATTAAAAAAAAAAATGTGTGTGTATGTGAATATATATATATATATATATATATATATATATATATATATATATATATATATATATATATATATATATATATATATATATATATATATATATATATACATACATATATATGTGAGTATATATATATATATATGTGTGTGTGTGTGTGTATATATATATATATATATATATATATATATATATATATATATATATATATATATATATATATATATATATATATATATATATATATATATATATATATATATATATGCAATCTAGCAGATACTGATGAAGTCACACTAAAATATATATCTGCAGGGCTAAAGTTTATTTATCTACAATTAATCTTACATACAACTTTTAAATTATTTTTAAATATACAATTTTTTAAATAAAAGTTATTTTAAATATTAAGACATACTTTACAAGGAAGTGGTTCACATGATTTTGGAGGACAATAATGACCAAGAATACATTCTCCACCAGTTCCATTACTTCCTTTAGAATCTTCAGCTCTAGATTTGCAAAAGTATCTTGAATCACAGATGCCTGTTGGTGCAGTAAGACCAGGCATTGAACAATACATACCGCAACTACAATTTGTACATTGATCAGATCTTTGAAGCCCTGACCCATTATTAAATGTGCCAATTGGACAATCAAAAGGAATTTCAGTACCCTTTAAACAAAATTTGCCTTGTGGGCAAATTATTCCTGTTTCATTAGTAGGTTTAGGACCTTTTGATCCTTCAATGCAATAATAACCAGGGTCACAATAACCAGAAAAAGTTGACGACGAACCTTTAAATGCAAAAACACAAATTTACTAAATGAAAAACTTGTGTTTTTTATATAGTCAAGACTTTATAGTTAAACTATTTAACAATAAACAAACAATTAGAAAATTAATTTTTTCTAAATTACTGAAGAAATATACATTAAACATAATTACCCAAGCAATACTTTCCAGCTGGGCATTTAATACATTCATCACTACTGGCCAATTTTGTTTTATTACTGAACGTACCAGGGGGACATCCAAACTGCTTTGAATATTTTGTTCCATTGGGACAAAAATATCCTTCAGGACATGGGTATTTAGAATAATCAGTAAGTGGTGATAATGAGTTTTGTAATTCACAATAGTAGCGTTCTGGGCAAAGTCTGCAGGTAAATTGACGCAAAATTGGATTCCATTTACCAGCTTCACATAATTCAGGAGAAATAGATCCTTCTTTGCAAAAATATCCAGCTGGACAAGCAAAGTCAACTGGCTTAGAGCTAGATTGCCCTGCCGGACAATAATATCCTTCACTACAAGGACCTGTTACAGATGTATTGTTAAATCCTTCACAATAATATCCAGCATTACAAGAGATGCAATCCTCTTCCTTTGTATTACCTAGAAAGATAACAAATGCAATATTCATAGATGAGTATTTGACTTTATGAAAATCCCGGAAATTTTTTTTAATGAAAATCCCAGAAAATCCGAGAAAAATTATTTTATTAAAAATTTATCATATTAACTGAAAACAAAAGCTTTCAAAAACTTTTAAAACAGAGTTTAGATTTTTTAACTTTTTACAAAAACGAATTTCTAATATTCGTAAAAGTTAATTTGAATAAATTAAAAAGCAAAAAAAAAAAGAACAAAAATTGAAAATTGATCTCGTGAAAATTTTAACTATAGAAAACATATTTGTTTAAATACAAAAGTTGTCATTTTTAAAATTTTATGTAAAAATATGAATATATTTTTTCAAATTAATTAAATTAATTAAATTTTCAAATTAAATTAATTAAATTTTTTCAAAAAACATCCGGAAATTTATGGAAAATTAAAGTAGTTTTAAGTGAATTTCCGGAATTCCCGGAAAAAACTCATCTATGAATATTACTATCGAAATTTTATAATAGAACTTTTATAAAGATGAATTTTCATTACTTACTAAAATAAATAATTTGCTTCCTAAAAAATAGTCAAAAAAAATTTCCAATGTTAAATGGTTAAATTTTTTATTTTTTTTAAATTTGAAATATTAGAATGTCAAAACTGAAAATGCTGAACATTGTATAACCTATCCTAGAAACTCTCAGTATATCCTAGAAACTCTCAGTGCCACTTGTGACTAGTTATTTAAAAACTTTAATTATACACAATTTAAAAATCATAATAAACACATAAGTTTGTCAATAGATTGCCAATTTAATTTTTTCAATATGTTTGCACTACTTGAAATACTACCTACATGTTAAACATGTTAAATCTACATGTTAAACAGGATACTTTTTTGCTGAATGAGAAAGAATGTGACATATATGATTGTGAATAACTTGTGTAATATATACTGTAATATGTGTATTAGGGCCGGTCATTTTTTTACAGTAACTGCTTAGACTTGCTTTGTTTTTGTTTTTGTTTTAAATGTGTTTTAAATGAGTTTTAAATATGCCCTTACATAAAAATAATGCAAAAAAAAAAATGAAAAATTTTAATTTTTAGGTTTTCAAATTTTGATCTCAAGAACTAAGGTTTTGGATAAAAAATGCAGGATGCATTTTTTTTTATCCAAAAACTTGCAACATTTTACTGCAACTTTTAGCTGCAACATTTTACTTGCAACAGTTAGCTGCAACTTTTGACTGGTAATTCTGATTGACTCAAAAACATATATGATCAAATATTTGAACCCAAATAGCCTTTATCAGACATCGAGACAATCGTTTTAGCTTAAAAACTTATAATTTTAGAAGTTTAAAAAGATCATTATTTTTGCTTTACTTTGCTGCAATATGACTATTATATGACTATAATGTAGAAGAAAAAATTTCAAAAGGTTCCTCAACTGCCAACCCAAAACTACCAATTAGAAACAATTTAATTTAGAAACAAAATTAGATTTAATTTAGAAACTACCAATTAGAAACAAAATTAATTTTCAGGTAATTTGTATGAATTTACTTAATTATACTAATTATAAAACAAATTTAGAATTATTTACTTAAAAAAGCTTAAGCAAATTCAGTTTAGATTCTAAAACATACAGAAATTCTCTTTGAGTTATTGTTGCCTTTATAACCCGTCCTGCTTTCCCGTAAACTATGCTGGAAGTTTTTGTAATTTCCTTAACAATTTTCTATGGATTGTCAGTGTACAGAACTTCCATCAGGATTTCTAAGAACCTAATAAGTTCTTTACCAATCTTGCATGTGAGCAAACGTTCGTAAATATCAGTACTCCAATCAATCAGTTCGATAATGGTTTCAGCATCAGTATCAATTTTTGACATTTTTCTTGATTTAACAACAGTACTTCCTAGAGAATTTAAAATTCTTATTGAAAGTAATGTTTTCACTGCAAACATTCTCCCTTATTTATCTTTGCAACAAAGTAGTGCTTGAAGTATGGATTCACTCTGAGCATTCCAGGCAGAGCAACAAACATAGGGGAAAACTGTTTTCTCAATAATTAAGTTAATTTTTCGAACAAGTTCTAACTGTTTGATAATATAGTATGGCTCATTAGTCCATTTTTGTTTTACCTTAACATTTTTTATTAATGAAATTATTGACACATACAAATGATTGTCAAACTAAATATAAAAATTTCAAGCCATAATACAGAGTATACACCAACACAGAACTGTACAAAGTGTTTAGTAGATCACTAGATAAAAGTACCTTCATTGATATCTAATAAAATAATTTCAATATCTATATCTTAAATTACAGATCTGAGTTTATCACCCAGCAGAGCTGGGGTAATAAACTCAGATTTGTAATTCAATCAGAGTTACTCCTGAAGCTAACAATATTTGTAGCTTTTTTCCCATACTCTATTTTATTTATACCAACTTTGTCTGTCGCAATAGGAATTTCAGGATACGCTACTAAATATTGTGTTTTTACTTTAAAGGAAACATTTTCTGCATTTATATTTAAGTATTGTATTGGCTTTACAGTTGTCATCATTTCTTAAAAGCAGAGAGTATTTAACAACATCTCTTAGTTGGTAACTCAGAATCTAAAAATTATTTTGAAAAACTAATGATAACACTTAGTTTGCAATTTTTAATATTTTATGTGTTTGTTTAGCCATTGATAAAGAACTAAAAGTTTGCAATAAATAAATAAATTTGTCTTAAATTTAACATGTCAACTCAAGTTAGAATGAAAGGGATGTAGTGGAATTTTGTTTAGGCCAGAATTTGCAATTTTTAGGTCATTTAGGTTCCGGATGGAATTACAATATTTCATGCCAGAATTTTTTTTTACTTTTTTTTTAAGACATGTGGCACAGACTGTGTAAATTAAAAAATCATTTTTTTACACTAAAATGAAGAACTAAAGGTAAACCTATACAAATAACGTTGTGTTTCACAAGAATTTTGTATTTTTGTAAAAAATACAAAATTCTTGTGAAACACAACGTTATTTTATTTGCAGTAAATTATTGCAGTGACGGATTCATGATTTTTTGATGTTTAAGATAACTTTCAGACATGGAGCAAACTCCAAACTTTTGTATGATTATACTTATGTCAAATAATAAGGCTTTGCAAAAAATTGTGATGATTGAAAGCTAAGAACAAAAAAACCCTTTGACTTCATCCCACCCCATCACCCACTCCAAACGCGAGGGGCAACAAGTTGATAAAATATTTTTTGTACTTTTCTTAACTAGACTTATATTCATAGAAAAATTTTAAGTTTCATAGTATTATCTTTCAGCATTCAAAAATTATGACCATTTAAAGGTTAAACCCCCCTCAATTTGAGGGGGTTACAAATTTTATATGGTCATAACTTTTAGCTCTTTTTTGATCAAAAATGTTACTTGCCTCTGAGAATAGTTTATTTAAAATGTTACTTATATTTTAAATAATTAAAAAGCATAGTATGCCTAATACAGTAAATATTCCATTTTTAACCTAAATAGAAAAATAGAAAACAAAGAAATAATTTTAAATATAAATATTATGCATGTTAAAAGTTTCAGTTGATAAAATTATAAGAAACAAATAAAAACAACATATTAGATTTAAATGAAACAAGAATCAAATTAATGTAATAGGTTGTATATATATTATAGGTTATAAAAATATATTATGTAGACACACCACTGAGGTGCAGGCTTTCACTTTAAATATTGAAAGTTAAAATTTTACCAAAGTATAATTCTTGTTCCAGCTGGAATTTTACTAACAATTCCAGCTAATCTGGTTCAGGACGGAATTCAAAATTTCCCAATCCGGTACACCCCTAACTCAAATACAGTCTTCTCAAATACTTCAAATTTATCAATGATATTTCATAAATTATTTAATAAAACTTAAAAAATTAAAAACAAAATTAAAGTTTGATTAAATTAATTTTTTGTAACAATGCAAGATATTACAGCAAAGTAAAGCAAAAATAACGATCTTTGTAAACTTTTAAAATTATAAGTTTTTAAACTAAAATGACTGTCTAGGTGTCTTATAAAGGATATATGGGATCAAGGATTCGATTTAAGATGTTTTTGAGTCAATTAGAATTACCAGTCAAACATTATGGAAAACTGTGTGTACTGCACTTTTTACCTAAAACCTCAGTTTCTGAGGTCAAAATTTGAAAAGCTAAAACTTAAATAGAAGATAAATTAAATATATGTAATAATAGTTAAAACTTTTATTTTATTTTTTTCGCATTATTTTACATAAAGACCAACATATTTAAAATTCATTTACTGTAAAAATTTGAAAAATGATGCACTTATGCATGCCCTAATAAGTATTAAACATAAGTTAATAAATTTATTTATACATTAAACAATAGTCAAACTAATACCTCTTGTATTCAAATATTTTCCTGGTGGACAAGGTCTTGGAAACTGAGTTTGTTTAGGACAATAAAAACCAGCAGGACATATATCACCAAATTCTTCATTAGTTGGTCTTCTTGTCCAAGATCCCTGCCTGCAAAAATAACCCTCATCACATTGGCCTGTGTAATTTAATAACCCCTTTGTCTCGCAGTAAAATCCACCAGGACATGCAAGAGGTGTGTCAATGCCAGAAGGACAGAAAAATCCTGAAGGGCATACTCCACCTAAATATAATTTAAACAAAAAGTGTAAGTAAAAAACAAAAAAAATGAATTCTGAAAAATCTATTTTATCTTTTATTCTTAAGTATTTATTTGATCTGTTATACTAAAATATTAACAATTATTAAATTGACTAAGCTTGTACCTGTAACATTAGTGGAACATGTGCAGCCCAATAATGAACAATTAGAATATTCATAATTTGGTTTTGATGTTTTTGCTCCTAATAAACAAAAATAGCCACCAGAACATAAACCTGTAGGTTTAGTTAGTCCCTCTCCTTCACAATAAAACCCACCGGGACAAGGTGTGCAATCTTCTACACTTACAGACCTAGTCATGTTGCCAAAAGTACCAGCTGGACATCTATATTGCGTGGCATATTGTGTCCCATTTGGACAAAAACTACCAAAAGGACAGGGAAATGAAAGATAATCAGATTGATTTGACGGACAAAAATACCCAGCTGGACAAGACCAGCATTTTTCTGCTCCTTTCTGGGGCATGTAAGTACCTGGTTTACAAAATTGAGGCTCAGAAGTACCAACTGGACAAAAATGAGCAATAGGACAAGGTCCACTAGTTTCATCTTCTTTTGAATTGTTTCGAGCTGAAGCACCTCTTTTACAGTAGTACCCTGCATCACATAATCCTTAACAAATAAAAAAAAAGTAACAATAGTAGAGAAAATGACATATAATAGATATAACATATATATATATATATATATATATATATATATATATATATATATATATATATATATATATATATATATAATATATATATATATATATATATATATATATATATCTGTGTGTGTGTATTTGTGCTGTTTTTTTTTTATATATACATATGCAAACATACATACATACATACATACATACATACATACATACATATATACATAGATGCATAAATACATACATAAATACATAGATACATAAAAATATATATATATATATATATTTTTTTTAAATGCAGACATCATGTATGAGAGTATGTAAATTATTATTTTATAAACATCAATAAATACGATTTTCTCTCGATACTAAATTTATTTTTTAAAAGAAATTTTTGCTGGATTGTTGTGACCAGTGTCTTAAAAGTTTTTTGTTTGTTTTTGTTTATATGTTATTTTTAAAAACGGCAGTTCTATTTTATGTCAATGGGATGGTTTTGTCTTTTTCTGATGTAAGTGCACTAGAAATGGTGTCCAAAACTTTGTTGACACATATTGTCCCTCATCTAAATTGATACCATTTTGTTAGGGGGCACATAGGTGGTACTGTATTTTAAGTACCTTTTCTATCAAAAGACTTTTAGAGTTCTGCAACTGTCCTAGTTAATTTGTTGTGTACAATGTTGCGTGTGCAGCTAATGCAGATCATATTGCTTTATTTCCTATTGTACTGTTTTTGTGTTGTTGCATGGGTGTTTTTATTTACATTTTTGTTTCACCTATACACTTTTTGCTACAATGACATTTAATAAGGTAGACTCCTGGGTGGCTGTTCATTTGTAGTTTGGATTTATTTCTTGATGTTAATATTGCCTCTAGGTTCAAGCTTGATTTGAAGACCATTTTATATCCTGCCTTCCTGAACACCTTACACAATTTGAGAGACAATTTTGGTACCCAAGGTAATGAAATCGTTCGATACGTATTGGTGATGTTGTCAATGTTTTTAGTAGTCACTAGAGATTTTTTGTATTTTCGTTTTATTTCTTTTTTGATTTTTATGAGATTGGACTTTTTGTAGCCATTTTTGACAAATACTTGAATAAGGAATTTCAGTTCATTTTCTATATGTTTCTAATTGCATACATTAAATGCTCTATGTAGGAAACCCTTAAATATTCCATTTAAAATTTGTGGGTCATGGTTTGATGTTGCCTTAACTTGAATGTTAGTAATTGCATTTTTTATGGGTATTTTTGTTTTTTTGTCATTATCAAATTCAAAAATATTAAGAAATTTTAGTTATACAAGTCACTGTATATCAGTCACACAAAGTTGATAAAGCTAGGCAACTTTGCCCAGCTAACAAAAGCTTTTTTGTTAGCTGCGGGATAAAGCTAGGCAACTTTTATCCCGCAGCTGTGTGTTAATTATCCCGCAGCTAACAAAAAAAATCTGATCTTCAAGAAGATCCATTTTAATTGAATACAAAATTTTGAACATCTATCAACATTTGTGAACTGTACCCAGTCCAGGAAAATGAAAATTTCTTAGACTGGTTACAGGAAAAAATTGTTTTCTAGATCAGGATACAGCAAACATAATTCACTGAACTCCTTGTAGCCTTCTTATTGGTGCTATACAGAAGATATAGCAGCATCTAGTAGTATGTATCTTTATTCTGCACTTTCCTTACAAATGGTAATCTGAGAAACAGCTTGTGAATCATATGAGAACAGTCAATGGTCAATTAGACTGAACATTTTGTATTAGACTGAACATTTTGTTGTTTTCTGAGGAAGTGTGTCAAAATACTTCTTGAATCTGCTAAATAGCACGAAAAAAAAAAATCAAAAAATAATGTAATGTATTAACTAATTAAGAAAATATAACTTTATTATGGTGCAAATAATTTCATGCTTACAGGCAATAGACAATACAAATAAAGAAACAAAAACTGTTTGGAAATACAAAGTTACACTGGAATTAGTTCTGTCATCAAAACAAAACAATAAAAAGTCAAAAATCAAGTCAAAAATCAACTTTAATTTTTTTAGCCAAATGCAGTGGCTACTAAATAAATATCGTGTTAACCATTTACCAAGTTACTAACATAAAATGTGTAATCCACATTCAAAGATATATATATATATATATATATATATATATATATATATATATATATATATATATATATATATATATATATATATATATATATATATATATATATATATATATATATATATATATATATATACTCATTTCATAGATGAAAGAGACTTTTATGGTAAATAAGTCTTTTTTAACAATAACTACACAACCTCAACAAATAAGCTACATTTTTATGTCATCTAAAAGTCAAAGCAATTAAAATAATGCGGAAGTACATTAAGTTTATTAATAATGACTAGAACATTTTTTAATTAATAGTGTTTTTGTTTTTTAAAAACATTTTTTTTAAACATGGGTGGAGTGTTGCTAAATTGGCTATCTTATAGCCTGTTGCTACAAGGGAGTGTTGTTACATCGACTATCTTATAGCTTGACTCGCAACAAAGTTTTACTACATCAACTATCCTATAGCCTGACTCGCAACAGAGGGCTGCTACATCGACTGAGGGTTTGGTTAGGGCAGGCAGTCTATCATTCAAGAAAAAGAAAAAAATTATTCAAGTTTTTAAACTTTTTCTGGTCTGGTTTATTAGAGCTCTCTTTAAAACTAATATGTATGTATGTATGTATGTATGTATGTATGTATGTATGTATGTATGTATGTATGTATGTATGTATGTATGTATGTATGTATGTATGTATGTATGTATGTATGTATGTAGATATATAATGGAATTTTACTAATATTACTACACTTACTTCATTTAATCCAAAATATTTTACACCAATTAAAAGGTTTTAGTGTTTACTATTATGTTTTGAGCAAATATTGATTATTTAATCAATGCATTTTAATTGAAAAAAACAACAATTTTTAATAAGATCAAAATTTTGCAGATATACTTAAGCTTTTCAAATTTTTCCTAAAAATTGCTAATTTAATAATATTATAAACAAATATTTTGTGGAAATAAATAAAAAGCTTTATTTATAAGAGATTGAGGTCACAGGGTATAAAAAAATGCATAACATTTCCAGTAAAAAAGTTGATAGCAAGACCAGTTCAAAGGCAAAACAACATTTTGTCAGAATATAAAACTCATAATATTAGGCAACAAAAACCCCCATTTGACAGTTTTTATGGAATGAATTGTAGTATTTCTACTACAAAACATTGTTTAAGCCATGCAGATGTATTTGGAAGACATTTAGTTAAAAAGCCATTTAATTAAAAATTCTTTTAGGATGTTTTGGTTTTTCCTTGAAAAATCAAAACGCCCTAGAAGAATTTCCATCACAGTACCTACAATTTCCATCACTTGTAGTCAACAACAGACGATAGTTCTTTTTAGTAATGAAAACAAGTTTATGCAGTTTAGATCATATGGAATTAAATTTGCTTGACGTCTAGTAGGTATAAAATGTAATCCTTAATCCCAAATGCTAAAAACAGAGGAGGTAATGTAAAACAGGAGGAAATGTGATGATTTTAGGATGTTTTAGTCTAGATGGTGTTGATGCGCTCCATAGATATACCATCAGGATAACAATCCCAAATAAAAAGGATAACAATACCACAACAACAATAACAAACTAAAAACTTAAGGTAACATCGTGAAAAAATTGAAAGTGTAGATTTTATATCTGGTTTATTTTAGTGAAATTTATTATTGAGTAATAAAATGAGTTTAAAAAAAGTATATTTAAAATATTTTTAAATATTTTATTTTTCATTTTTTTTATGCAGTTAAATAAATAGCTATGTTTTATACTATTATTCATTCAAATTTTTAATTTTTCTTTTGCTTTTTCTGTTACTTTATTGCTAGAAGCATTTGTTAAAAAAACTTTCTGTTAAGGTTTCAAAAATTAAAAATATTTTAATTTAAATTTCACTAACTGGTTAAACAATTTATCTTTGTTCTGTATTTATGTTCTATCTGTATTATATTTGTTTATACAAATATAGAAAGTGTTATACTATTTTTATAACACCCCACAAAATAAGCCTTGCTTATTTAAAAGATGTCTTTTGAATGTTGTGCAGGCAAATGTATATTGGGGTTATTATGTATCATTAATGGAACCCTATTAGCTTTTTAATAAACTTAGGTATGTCTTGATTCCCCAATCAATAATGACCCATTTTACAGATTATTTACTGCTATTTGCAATAATAATAATAAAAAAAAAAAACCTGATGTTGTGCTTTGACCGCCTTCACAGTATTCTCCTGGACTGCATGGCTTACACTCATCAGATCTTTTAAGACCTTCTATATTTGAATATGTTCCTGCTGGACATGGTGTTGCTTTATAATCACCTGTACCTTCTGGGCAGAAATACCCAGTAGGACAGAGACCACCCCTTCCTGAAGATAATGGTGGTGAAGGTTTACTTATAGATATGCCTTCTAAACAGTAATACCCAGCTTCACAAAATCCAGAAATATTTGTTGTAGGAAATATAGTTATGGCCAAACCAGCACAAAATTTTCCAGGAGGACAAGGTGTACATTCACTAAGGCTTGCTAAACCACCCTAAATCAAAGTTATTTTTGATAAAGATATTTAAGATGAGTTTTTTTTTTTTTATATGAAAGGTAAAAAATATAAATATATTTACTTTTGAACCAAAAGTTCCATATGGACATGGTTTCTTTTTCAAAAAGGATGTACCTTCTTCACAGTAGAATCCATTAGGACAGTCAAATAGTTTTTTCCCATCATCACAATAATAACGTGCTGGACATTTTACACACTCTGAAAAGCCAGTTCCATTGCTAAATATTATAAAATAAGTGTTTGTAACATTATCAAAGCTATATGTTAATTAAATACATCAATATACAATATAATTTGTATAAAAATTTATAAATTTTTCTTCTTTTTAAAAATCAAAAATTGGAGATTGAAAATAACAATGATTTTATAAAAAAACTTAAAGCATCAAAGATCTAGGGTTGATAACTATATTTAGACCTGATAAAGTGTTGCCTCTCTACAGTTATACGTTTTAATGTAAGTCATTTAATTTGTGTAGTTATTTATTTGTTTAGTTTTCATTGCAAATTCATAGGCCATTGGCTGTGAAAATCCATTTGCATGACCAAATGGAGCCTTTTTAATTCAAGTGAAGGTGTGTGTTCTACAACTAACTTATTGCTAACTTAATCTAATTTTATTCTAAGAGTAGTATGTCAAGAAAATCTAAAACAAATAACTACTGGGCAGATTTTAGATGTTAATTTAATGTACTAAATATCTTTTTTCTAATAGTTGTTGATTCTAACACAGTAAGTAGTAGAAACATAAAAAAGTGTAATGTCTAATATACTTAGATGCTAGTCACAAAGCGGAACAAGGGAGAAGAACAACACGAACTGTTAATTTTATGTGTATGGTAAAACAACAATGAAGAAGCTGTTTACAGTAAAATTGTTGAAAATTTTCCACAAGTCAAAGAATCTGGTGGAATTGAGTTAATAATTAGATTAGGCTTGCTTAGCAAGTTCTCGAGATTTAGTATTATTTAACTGTGTCTCACTTACTATATTTAAATAGTCTCACTGTAAAGAAATCAAATTAATTATGGGGAGAGGCCAAGGAATTTAGTATTATTTAACTGTAGTCTCACTTACTATATTTAAATAGTCTCACTGTAAAGAAATCAAATTAATTTTGGGCAGAGGCCAAAGAATTTAGTATTATTTAACTGTAGTCTCACTTACTATATTTAAATAGTCTCACTGTAAAGAAATCAAATTAATTATGGGCAGAGGCCAAGGAAAAGTGCATATTAAACCAAAATCATATATATATAAAAATATATATATACAAAATCAAAAATAAATTTTTTTAATTTTTTACAATATATCTTTGTTAACCAATATATCTTTGTCAACTTTTTTGTCAATCATAGAACTTATAGTTACTTTAAAGAACAAGAGTTGTGAAAATTCTTATAAATTCTTATAAATATATATTATATATATATATAAAAATATAAATTCCTATAAATTCTTATAAATACTTTAAAGAACGATAAAGTTGTGGAAGTGTTTAAGTTGTGAAAAGAAATTCCTCTTAAATGAGTTAAGAAGTCACATACAGATTTGTTTTAATATTTGCAGTGATAAAAATGATGATGTTTTTAAACATGTATCATTAAAAATAATTTCATTTGTATAATAAAATAAAATGATTGTTTTTGATGATTTGTTCTTGATATAATAACTAGAACAACAAATTTTTAAATATTCATAAAAAAAACCTTTTAAAAAACTTTAAAAGGTGTTAATGAATTTGGCTTGGCTTATTGAAAATTATTTGGGTTATTTTACCTTTTTATTTGCGGTATTATTCAAATCTACTTTTAGTTCATTGTTTGAAAAATAATTATCCTTTTAAATTAAAAAAAACAATCTCATTATCTTAAAAATTAATATACCTGTACGATCCCTCTGGACATATTTTTGGCTCAGACGATCCAACAGAACAAAAACTTCCAATTGGACATATATTACCTTGTTTATCATCTTTTGGCTCAGGTGTTTGTGAACCTTTTTTACAATAATATCCAGCTGAACAATTACCTGTAGGTTTCTCTAGACCTGCAGTTAAGCAATACTGCCCAGGAATACATTCTAAACAGAATGATTCATTGGTTGCACCATATAATGGATTGTAAGTTCCTGGTTTGCATTGATATTGTGTTGGATATGATGTTCCTTCTAAACAGTAATGTCCTTTACGACAAATTCCACCATAGTCCATATCTTGATACACTCCATTTGTAAAGTTTCCCTGTAAATATTTTCAGGTTAAGATTTTATAATTTAAGAAGTTCACTTTAAATTTTCTGCTTTTTAATAAAACTATTTTTAATATATATTTCTTGTTAAAAAATATTTTTTTCCTTATTTTGATTTTTACCTACCGGATTTGAAACTGGAGATTTAGATTGACAATAATAACCTTCTCTACATTTACCAGAAACTTCCACCAAACCTGTACCAAAACAAAATTTGCCTGGCAAACAACTTTTGCAATCTTCAATGGCTCCTTTTGATATGACATCATTGTAGGTTCCAGCAGGGCAGGGTATAGGAACTGATGTTCCTTCTGGACAATAATGTCCTTTTAAACAACTGTTTGGGATAGCAAGTCCAGTCTTGTTACAGTATGATCCTTTTGTACATTTATCACATTTAGACATTGTAGGAGATGATTGGAAAAAACCAAGTGGACATGGAATCGGAAATGACGCTTGCTTCTCGCTATAATGTCCTTCTGGAGTTTTATGCTGATTAGGTCCGGTTGCATTACCATTACAATAGTAACCAGGATCACAAGGTCCAGTAGGTCCATCATTAAATGTACCAGCACAATAAAACCTATGTTAAAAAAAAGCTAACTTCAAAGTAGATAAAAAGTTACAACATTCTCTAAACTCTGTATCTACAACTATACCCAATTTTACATATAGTAAAATAGCTATAAAAAATTTAATTTATCTTTTTATTTAATTTATAGAAAATCTTATTTTAAAGCTACTTTTATTACCTAGCTAAAACAATAAGAAAACTTAAGAAAAATAAGAAAACTTTTTAACAAGATCATGTTAATAATGTTAACTTCAGGATATTTTTCATAGAAATCCAATGCTTTCCTGTATCAACTGAAACTCCACTTTCAAAAGACTTTGCTGTTTCCATATTAATACATTTCTTTTATTTAATAAAATGTAATTAAATGATATTTAACAGAATTTTTTTTGTTGCTATATTTTTACCTTTTTTTTTATTTCTAATTATCCAAAAAAAAAAGCGATCTTTATATTACAAATTTTAAAAACATTTTGTACATGTTAGAACCCCTACCCAGTCTTTATTATACTGTTAATACAACAAAACAAATTATATTTAAAAATAATAATACCCTGCTTTGCAATCCAGACAATCCGCAGGTGATTTTGCACCTTCGTCACTGTTATATTTCCCTATAGGACATGGACTTGCTTTTTTTGCTCCACGAGAACAATAACCTCCTTTAGGACATAGACCACCAGTAATACCTCCAGAGGGTGCCTTAAAATAATTCCTCAATTTAAAAACAACACATATCTTTCTTTTTTCAGAAGTTTTAATAACAAATTTTAATTTTTTTTTGTCCTTGGAATGAAAATGTATTTTCCTAAACTTTTACCCAAAAGCAAATAGAAAACCTTTGTTCTGCAAAAACTTAATTCTTGTGACATGGACAAAAACATTTGTGTTTTCAACTGATATTGTTGTTATTGTTTTATTTTATAGATATTGAAAGTTCTCAACTTTCAATATCTTTAAAATATAGAAACTTCTAGAACTTACAAGAAACTTCTAGAATTTTCTGAAACATTCTCGAACTGTTTAAAAGTAGTCATAAAAGAATGTATTTAAAGTACAATTATTTAACTTGATTGGTATCCAGAGGTTGCTTGCTGCCAGTATTATTCCACGGAAGCAAGTCACAAAACATGTAAAGCCTACAAAAATATTTCTACATGCCTGTCAGAGGTCAGTGTGAATCATGGCCACCACATTTCACATGCAATTTTGTAGGAAAACTCTTGGTTTTGAAGGTAAGTTTGATGATTGTTTCTTGCTTAGATATACTTTATTTTGAAGAATTACAATGATTTAGATTAAATTCATTTTAAGAAGTTGCATTTGGCAATTTCAATATATTGCTGTACTATTGGGAAATTAATATAAGTTATATTTCCTGTGTTACAGGTTGGTGCAGAGCAGAAAAGAGAGCTACAAAGTTTTCCAAGTGTAGTTAAGGAGAAGAGACCATACTTCTCTAACCAGAAAGACCAAAAAGTGACCTAGTTCATACCAAATCAAATGCTAAGCTTTTGATATTCAGGCTCAATTATTGAAATTTGTTGAATAAAAATGTACAAATCACAGAAATAACCACCAAACATTTTCAACCTCTCAAAGAGATGGTTGTGATACTACAATAAAAGTCAGTCAATATCAAGATTGTCAATATCAATCAATAGCCTCAAAAGTCTTTTTGAGGCGATTGACTGATATTCAATAGTCAATCATTATCAAAAATATTCTCAGATGACGTGTTTAAAATGTCTAAAACATGTATTACCGGGCTGTGATACTGTAATAAAAGTCTTTTTGAGGCTGATTTATCTGATATTGATCTGAATTGAGTGAATGCCTATTTAAAGAAAGTTCATCCTCAAGTCTCAAAACAGTTTTACTTTACAACGGAATCTCAAAGAGAGCTAGACTAATATCAATATGTTTCTGGATGCCTTGAAGTATGATGACAACAGATAGAAAATCGTCATTTTTCATTTATTTTGGTCTTTATAGCTGTTTCACAACAGTTCTTAGTTTTTTTTTTACCTTTGAGACATTTATAACACTCCCAGAATAGACTGGCCAAAATGTACTGAGTTATCTGTGAGAATATAAAGTCATACGAATATAAAGTCATACCAAAAGAACAAAAATACAAGACTTTGGTTTCAACAAAAACAAACTTCAAGACATAACACTCCCAGAATAGACTGGTCAAAATGTACTGAGTTATCTGTGGGACAGAGCTGCTGATAGAACCTCAAAAAATGCTCATGTTGCCACTGCTCATTAAGTTAGCCCTTATCAAGCAAATTACAAGAAGTTGGCACCATTTAAGTTACTTAATTAAGAAATTTAATGAAACTTAAATTGAGTAACAACCCTTTTTTAAAGCTGCTTGAGGTTTCTTCCTGGGTAATCACAAGGCTGAAAACTATATGGACTTCACTTCTAACTTCACTTTAGATTCTCTTACAAAATTGGGTCCAAATGCAGAAAAAAAAGGGATGATCTCAATAAAGTCAATGAGAATATGGGAGCTTACTCAGAGGAGCATAGCAAGTGCTTTCATAAAGATAACAAAAGTATGATAGGGGACTACATTTAAAGGAAGTACATGTGATTTTTTAACGTCTTTATTTATTCAATATGCAATTATTGCTTCTTACCATACTGAAAGAACAAAATACCATACCAAAAGAACAAAATACCATACTAAAAGAACAAAATACCATACTAAAAGAACAAAAATACAAGACATTGGTTTCAACAAAAACAAACTTTATTTGTGCTGTGGTCATAAAATCAAAGCTTGTGCTCAATCTAGTCATCTTCCCACAGTCTTTTGGCATAAGCTAATCTAACACTTTGAATCCAAGGACAAAAATGTGTTATATACTGTTATGTAAATTACCAAAAAAACAAATTTTAACAATTTAAACATTTTTAAAATTCTAATTATTATTCTTCTGACATAAACATTAAATTATACCGACGTAAATGCAGCTCCTTTGCAAAAAAAACCAGCATCACATTCTCCTGTTGGCGCTGTCTTGCCGACACCAGCGCAATACATACCAGCTTCACATGCAGTGCAGTCTTTTGATCTTCTTAAATGTGTACTGTTTCCATAATAACCAGATGGGCATGGTTGAGGAATTGTAGACCCAGTTGGACAAAATGAACCCTGTAAACCAAAAATTTAACTAAATTCTATCTATATTTAGCAACATCTCTATAGCAATATCTAATTAAAATAATAAAATTGCTTTGCTTTCTATTTCAAAAGAAACAGGCTAATATTACTTTTATTAAACACATACAAAAAGTTTGGAAAAGATGTTAAAATAAATCAAACATATTTTAACTAAATTTTTAATTATTTTTTTAAACCAATGACTATTAATACAATATTTTTCCGTTTTTTATAACCAGCTGTTACATTTAAAAGCATTGATTGTAACTTTAACAATAATGTAATATATACATGAAACATTTCAATTTTTTTTTTTTAAAATTGTTGTAAAGCAAAAATATTGCCTTCAATAGGTTTGACATCAACTCAATAGGTTTGACATTCTTATGCATTTTAAACAGAAATAAACTAATATTAAACTTATTGAACTAATGTCAAGAGTAATGAACTCAGTTCAATAGAAATGCATAAGAAGCATTTCAATCTAATTTACTACCCAACCAGAAAAAGCAAAAATTCAAAAAAAAAATTGAATTAATAGCAAACATCAAACTAATTGTAAATACTTTGAGATATAAAAATGCTGCTCCAATTAAAACAATAAAAAAAAATCCATCATTTAATAAACAAACTTTTCATTATATTATAGAGCTGTGTATTCAATTTAAACTCCCAGTTTATTTTATTTTTTGCTAGTTGTCCCTATATAAAAAAACAACCATGATATGTTTTTGCAAAACTTAAAAAAGTTTGGGAATTTATAACATCTGATCAATTTTAGAATTGAAAATATTAAAAATTTAAACACATTAAATTCTATAATTAAGAGACAAATATAACAATGAACAAATGATTAATTTCGATACCTGTGGACAGTCTTTTGGAAAAGGTAAACCTGGTTCATCACAATACATTCCTGCAATGCAAACACTACAATCCATACTAGATCTTGCAGCAGATGCATTTCGATAAAATCCAACAGGACAAGGATTCAAATACTTAAATCCAGTTCCAAGTGGACAAAAATAACCAGGTGGACATTCTCCAGCAGGATTGCTTAAACCAGATGGTTCGCAGTAATACCCAGCTGGACACTGCTGGCAATCTTTTTCATGTTTTAAATTTGTAAACGTGTTAAATGTTCCAATAGGACATGGCCTAGGATCAGGATCCTAAATGTAAGTAAATGTAAAATATTAAATCCTAAATTTAATGTAAAGAAGTTTTTTATTAAAATAAATCTCACCTCATTTCCTTTTAAGCAGTAGTAACCTTCCTTACAAGGGTTGACAGCTGGGTAAGGTTGCCAAGATAAGCCTTCTGGACAATGCATTCCAGCTGGGCAAATAAATTTAGTACTCATTACTTCATAGCTTGTACTGACGAGAATACAATAGTACCCTTTCTTGCATACAGAACAATTAGTAGCATATCTGTCAGAATAACTTCCCAAACCACAACTAACTGGATTAACTGTACCATCTTTTTCACATTTATATCCAGCAGTACAAGGCTTGCAACTATCTAAAAAGAGAGATTTCTTTGAGAAATAAAAACTTGAAACCAAAAAATGTAAAAAAATAATAATACTTTTATTGCACTCTTTAATCCAGTTTAAGAAATCTGTTTCATTAATGAAGTTAATAAATATAATTATAAATTAATTATATTTATTAACTTCATTAATAAAGTAGACTAAATTTATTTAAACATCTGGATCTTACCCTCTGATTCTCCATTTAACTCATCTCTATAGCTTCCTTTTGGACAAGGTTCTGGGTTTGATGTTCCTGTAGGACAAAAATGGCCCAAAATACATGGCTCACATACTTCCCAGCGAGTATTACCTTGACGTCTTGAAAATGTTCCTTTTGCACAAGGAAATTGTGTTGAATACTGAGTACCTGAAAATTTGATGAATTATTATACTATATTACTATCATTCTTTTTAATGCAACAGTCTTAACTAAGCTAAGGGCTGGTTATAACTAATAAAAAAAAAATAAACTAAATCAAAACAGCAACAGCAAAACATCCAAAACACAGAAAAATTACATCAAAACTATAATAACAAAGCATCAAAACAGCATATGTATGCTAATATATAAATTAATGTAAGTCTAAGGTAGATTTACTATACTTTGATTATAGACTGACAAGCTGTTGAAACTATTCATAAAAAATATGTATATGTAATATGGTGTCAGATTAGAATGGAAGTGGAGCACTATGATAATGATTCAGAAATTCAACCTACCCCCAAACACCCACCAACCTTGTATTAAGCACCTAAGAACCTGAGAGTAAAGAAAAAAAATTAACAATTATACAATTTAATCAACTGAGTATATTTTATCACAATAACTGTCAAAATGCTGCTTATTAGATTTTCTGCCCTAGACCCCATGTCTGCATTGTCTGACACCAGAGCTGGCTCTTCTTTTAAATGGTGAGGGGTTTTGGAGGGTGGGATTCTCATATTAATAACTATTACCAAATATAAATGTCATATATAAATACAGTATAAACAAATCATTTTATTACCTGAAGGACAATAATGACCAGTTGGACAAATGCCACTTGGTGAAAATGCACCTTCTAAACAAAACCAACCTTTAGGACATTCTTGACAACCTGTTTCACTTTGTAGATTTGTAAGGTTTGACCATGATCCAGCAGGACATGGAAACTGCTTTGGGTGTCGTGTTCCTTTTTTACACCAATGACCTTAAACCATAATAGATAAAAATTATACATAAAGATGATTTTAGATCTTGTAAAAAAATTAATTATAATTACAAATATTTACAACAAAGACTTTTATAAATAGTTCAGTGTCATTTTTGTACTTTTTTGTACTGAATAATTTAAATCAGAGAAACAACTGTCAGCCATGTTTGTTTCTCTGATGTATGTATTCAAGCATCATAACATTTTTTTTTTTTAATTGTTAAAAAAAGGACTTTGCACTTTAGCAAATATTTTTAACTCTATAAAGTCAATATATGATGGTTTTGTATTTTAAACAATTGAATATTTTATAAACATGATTTTGTTTCATGTTTCTTTCTATTTTTATACAGGTAAAAGGACTTCAGAAAAATAGGTGTGCTTTAGGATTCTGGTTAAAAAAAAAATAACCACTTTATACTTTTAAGAGTTGACAAAATAATTTTGTTAGAATGCCAAAAAGGTTAATTTTTTTGGAAGTTTTCATATAAATAAATTTTTAAATAAATATTTAGGATATACTTTTTTCAATAGGGGCCTTAGAATGTCAGGTTAAATAATTGGTTGTACTGTTTCCAATTTTAGGAAAAAAAAATTATAAATTTTATATATAAAAACATTATTTTCCCTGCTAAGTATATTTTAAAATATTTGGTTCACTTACCTTTTTTACTTTTTATATTCCACTACAAAGTGTTAGGTTTAGGAACCTCAATGTATATGAGTATTTTTACTTTTCAACTGTTCACTTTTTTACTGTTCTACTAACAAACTTCGTTCAAAACACACTTTAACCTGTTTCGTTTTCCGCTTTTAATTGCTTTTAAAGTTAAAGTGTGTTTACTAAAGTGTGAGTACGAAAGTGTGTTTTGAAATTCCTTTGAAGTTGTAAATAAATAAGAAATGAAAAAGTCTTTTAATCTTAGAGTTAAGGCAACTAACAAATCAAGATGCAATGTTCTAAGAGAATTACCCAGCTCCTTGATCAAATCACTCAGAAATGGCACTCTGAGTACTCAAGTGCTAAATATGAAATTTATTATTTGTTTATGACAATCAACAGGGAAGGTTTCATGTAATTACTTTCATAGTTATGGCCAGAGAATGCATCAAAACAAACAAGTATAAATGAAGGTGAAAAAGTTGGGATTTCAAGTAGAGGACTCAGTGTTGAGAGGATGCAGGAAGATAAGTTTTTACGAGCTGAGCTGTGTAATAAATATAATACTGAAAATAATCAACTAATAAAAATAATGAAAATAATCAACTAACAGAACTAACAATATAATCTCCAAAAGATGTTCGTTATGGCTCCACAAGCTATTGGAAACATAAATACAAAAGTGCCATTGAAACCTATCAAACAATATCTATTAAATCAATATCACTTAAGAAATACCTAATTTGTTGCATGTAACCAAAGTAACACCTAAAGTTACCCAGATTCACAGCTCAGTAAAGGGGGAAAAAATAATAGAAAGGGTTTACTCAATCTAGGAAGACAAACCAAAAAGGAGCAAGCTAGTAAAGAAAGGAAATCTAAGAGACAACAACAAATTGAAGTATTCTATAAATGTAAGGAAGAATGAACATAAGGCAAGAATGTTTGTGCTGCAACTGAGCTTCAAGAATGCTTGCATTCTTGAAGCTCAGTTGCCATAACGTTTTAAAATCTACATGAAAATAACGTTGAAAACTTCTTTGCTTCCTCTTCTTTCCCTCTTTGCTCTAATTCCTTCCAAATTACAACATATCATTCTGTTTTTGCTAATTTTTTGATTATTGCTTATATAGATCTTTTTTTTAAATTTTTTGTTTATTTTATGATTTTTTCAAATTTGTTAATGTTACATTTTGTTTTCAACCACTCTTTTTGAAATCGGAAAGTCCAACATCAATAATTAAAGGGGGAGACCAACATTAAAGAGCTTATACAACTCAGTCAAGATATGATTTTGGAAGATCAGAAAAAAAAAACAGTTTACAAGCGGGCATATAGATAAAGAACTTGAAGCAAAGGTTGAACGTAGACAAGAGAGATACTGCAGGTATACAGATTGTAAGAAAAAAATGTCAATAGAGGCCAATGGAGACATCATAATGATGAGAACTGCAATTACTTAGATTTAGAAGAGTTATTGAATCCTCAATTAAAAATGCTGATGAAATTTATTTAAATGAGATAAAATTGATATCTGAATCAAATAATATTTATCATGAAAAAGCTAAATTGTATAAATTGTTGCGCGCTAAATATTACTTAATAGAATAAACTGTACTTTGTCAATGTACTTTTTTATTTTCATTTTTTGTTATTATTATTGTTTTGAATCTTGCATTAATGGTAGGTAATAAAAATCATAATTCTGATGAAAATGGAATATCAGCATAAATATCAAACAAAGCTTAAAAACAAAAAAAAAACAATGCACCACTCATGGTGCATTGTTTCAATTGACAAAGATCCAATTCGATTTTTGTTAATTGAAATTAGACCAAATTATATTGAGGAACTGAGAGAAAATAATCTTGTCCTTCACTTTAATGGCAAACTAGTTGCAGATTTGTATAAGGAAATCCAACAAACAGTTACAAGAGATAGAATTGCTGTGTCTGTTACTAGTTCTGAATTTCAACACAAGGAAGATCTTCTCTTAGGAATTGTTCAAAGTAACACAAGTAAAGTATCTGATCAGGCTTTAGTAATTCAAAATTTATTAGAATATTTTAAAGTTTCAGACCTAGTATTTACTGTGTGTGTGGATACTACAGCAACTAACACTGGTAGAACAAAGTATGCAATTATAATAATGAGAAAAATTTCAGAAACCTTTATTGTGGCTATTATGTCGGCAACTCTTACATGAAACAAATATTTAACATATTTACAAATCAATATTTGGATATAACATCAAGGGTCCACGAAAGGCCTTTTACTCAAACTTAAAAAACAATTGGAAAATTTTGCCCGCTTTTTATCTATTTGTGGTGTCACTTCTAGTTGTAAAAAATTTCATGAGAGTACTCTCATAATTTGTCCTGGAAAATAATTTGAATGGAAATTAAACATTAAATTTGGTCTTGAAATTTTCTTGAGATTTTCTCCAGAGAAGATTACAGGCATCTTATGGAATACTTAGCTTTATATTGTAATATTTTGTCTGACAAGCTGAAAAAATTTTAGGATTCATTAACCAGGTGCCTGTCATAAATTTATACTCATAAGAGATGCATTATATCGCATGGCTTTGGAATTGACATCGCCAGTTTTAAATTACTTTTGATTATTATCTAAATTCTGTTTGTTGTTCTTTAAGGACGAACCCTTACACCATCATGTAATAAACTGTGTCGCCAAAAGAAATGTTTTATAAATAAAAAAATGAAAAAGGTTTTGAAAACAGTAAACAATCACGTAAATTTCTTATTTCACATTTAATGCGAGTTTAACTTTATAATTAATGTGAACTTTATTTATATATAAATCGCATAGCAAAATAAAGTTACAATTATAAAGTCTCAGCTAAAACAACAACAAATGTTGTTTAATTACAAAAGAATTACAAAAGATTGCAAGCGATTGCACGCTATCGTGGCAACAAAGAATAGCAATAGTTATCTTTTCATGCATAATCATAAAATGTTATTATTACTATGGTTCATTGAAACATTAAAATTTGCTTTTATGTTTTAAATTCAAGCAAGGGGTGAATCTGGTTTTCTAGTACCATTACCATTTAGTAAATTTAGCACCATTTAGTAAATTTCTATGACAAGTTTGTTGTAATAAAAAAAAACATTATTGTCAATAAACGTACTTAATTTACATTTTAATATACGTATTTAATTTACGTTTTAAATGTAAGCAACCAGTAAAGTAAAGAAATCTATTTTCTTCATTAAATAAATTTCTAAAACCAGTTTGTTATAATCAAAAAACATTTATTTAACTTTTTTTTATAATAATTTTTGTTGTTAGAACGCATTGTAAAAAATTATTTGCAAATTTTGAGAAAATAATTTTTTTTCCAAGCAATTTTAAGAATTTTTGGAAAATCCCAATTATCAAAATGGTTTTTTCAAAGAGATATTTTTGTAGTTATGCAAGTTATACAAATAATGACAATATAATATAATATATATATATATATATATATATATATATATATATATATATATATATATATATATATATATATATATATATATATATATATATATATATATATATATATATATATATATATATATATATATATATATATATATATAGAGAGAGAGAGAGAGAGAGAGAGAGAGAGAGAGAGAGAGAGATCTTTGAATAGTATCTATAAGAGACTTTATGGTTTCTCAAGATAATAACTTTTCTAATTAATTTAGAAACAATTTATCATTTTGAAATATATAAATATATATTTCAAATTGGTAAATTAATTTCTAAAATGTAATTATTGTATAGTTAAAATGTATAAATCTGTAGTTGTTCAGCTATTTTAAAATCAATGATTTATTTTATCTATTTCGGAGTTAATAAAGTCATTCATGCTAATTAAAGCAAACAATTTATAATTAGGTCAATGTTTTAACAATAATTTTGTTTATTTTTAGCATTTCTTCAGAAATTTTTTTGAACCAATAGTTTTTTTTATTAGGTATTGGTGCATATGATAAGTTACTTTTAAACAAAACTTCTATATGTCACAATGGGTTACCAAAAATTTATCCAAATATTTATCCAAATATTTTATTTTTGCCATCCATCTATTTATTTATAAATATTTTATTTTATGCATATATTAAGTCACATAATTTGTTTGTTTTTAACTAGTTGAAACATTTTTTTATCATTTAAACACATAAACAATATTTTTATCATTTAAACACATAAATTGTATGCAAACAATACAAAATTTATATATATAATTCTGTACATAATTTATAAATCCAAACATAGATTTACAAACTTATATGCAACTTAAATATAAGTTTATAAATTTAAGTTTATAATACTCTTACTAACTAACAATTAATTATAAAGAAACTTGCGTTTAAATGCTTATAAATTTTTAAATTTTATATATCTATATTAAAAATTGTATTGCATATAACAACATTTTACCTGCTGCACAAGGCTGTGGTTGCTTTTGAATTCCTCCTGTTCCAGCTTCACATGCTAGACCTGCTGGACATTCAATGCAATCAGCATCTGATGTTGCGTTATGTAAATCTGTGTAGGTGCCATCAGGACATCGATTAAGAGTATCATTAGGAAAAATTGATCTTGCTGGGCAAAAGTGTCCTGCCATACAATGAACAGAGGGATAATTCAGACCTCGCTGTGGACAAGCCATTCCAGATATACAATCAAGACAACTTTTTATATCACCTTGGTTTTGCAACGGATTATAAGTACCAGGATTGCACGGAATCGGCGAATCAGATGCCTCAGGACAATATGCACCTGCCGGACATAACTTACAACTTGCTAAAGCTAAATATTATATTAAATAAATTTATTTCAGACATTTTAATTTATTTCATATTTAATTTGTATTCAAAGTATAATTGGTTGAAAATTTTTTTAAAAATCAAATACTAATAGAATAACTAGATAAAAACTAATTTACAATATAAAAATTTCTATTTTTTACAAAAAAAATTACATGTAGACCCTTGTTCTTCGTTGTAAGTTCCACTGGGACATTTGTTTTGTGTTCCAAAAGTTGTTTTGAATGGACAATAGTGACCAGCTGGACATAATGAATCACCAGTAGGATCACCACTAGGGCAATAAAATCCTGCTTTACAATCTTTGCACTGATTTAACCTAGCATTTCCAAGCTGATTACTATATGTTCCAGCTGGACAGGGATTTTCAAAGGCTGTCATGGTAGAACGAAGACAATAATGGCCCGGTGGACATTTGATTGATTCTGTTGGATACCCTGCAGTTGCTTCTGGACAATAATAACCTGGTGGACAATCAATACACTGTGTTAAATTAGCAGCACCTTGAAGTGAACCATATTTACCGGCTGGACATGCAATTTTATTATTATTTTCACAGTAGTAACCTAGCGGGCATATTCCAGTAGAAGGTTTATCTGTGACACTTCCTTCAGCACAAATGTAACCTGGTGAGCATATATTACATTTTTCACTTGCTATATCTGAATAAGAACCAGCAAGGCAGAGAACAGGAGGTTGGTCTTTGGTTTTGCAATAATAGCCTTTTGGACATGGGGAACAAGCAATAGATCCTGGTAAACTATAATATCCACTTTTATCACAAGGAAGACCTTTAGTTGTACTATTAGGACAATAACTTCCAGCTTCACATTGAATACATTCCTACACAAATTTTAAAAAACAATTTAAAAATAAAAACATAAAAATGCAAAAATATAAATATATAAAAAGCATCATAAACATTAAAAAAATTACCGCAACTCCTAATGGTGAATACCATCCTTTTGCACATGGCAACTGAAGTTGCTCATTTTGACTTGGACAAGAAAAACCACCAGGACATTGAGTACAAGTGCCCTGTCCTAATACACTATAACTACCAGCAGCACAAGGTATAATTGTTGCATTATCAACTTTTGGGCAGTAATTTCCAGAAGGGCATAGTGTGCAAAACTATTGGTTAATACACAACATTAAATTCAATTCAAAAAAGACAACATTACAGTATAAAACTTAATAAAAGAAGACTATACATAAACAATGTTCTAGGTATTACTACATTAAATTGTCAATCAATCTTATCCAAATTTTATTTCATAATAGTTAATAAAATAATGATGACATCACTATCTAAGATTTAGTTGGTTAGGTTTTGAATCATTTAATTTTTAAAGTATCAAAAACTTATAAAACTTTATATAAAATAAAAATTAAACAGCAGCTTCTATTTTACAATATAAATTTGACTTATGTTTCTTCTGCAAATACTGACATCTAATAAGATTTTTTCTTGCATCCATTGGATTGCTTAGTCTTTTTTTTCATTAAACATATTTTTTTATGTTAGTTCACCTCCCCCGATAGTCCAAAAAAGACTCCAGCTTTATATCTATACTTTTTCTTAGTCTCTGTTGTTCATGAGCTCTATAAATGTAAAGTAACTTATGATATGTAGTAAAAAAAACCCAGGTTCAATATTTGGTTTTTCCTTTGACAGAAAAGTCCTAATTTTTTTATAAAAGTAGTCTATAAGCCTCTATACATTTTTAGAGCTCCTGGATACCAAAAACTAGGAAGAAATAAACATTTTATGACTTTCAAATCTGGAGTCTTTTTTGGGACTCTGCATCCCTGCTCATCATTTTTTACTAAACTTATTCCTGTTGGAAAAACATTTGTAAACATTCATACTTAAAAATTAAGTTTATTTTTAGTTTATCTTTAATGGAAAATCTACAAAACTTGTATATAAAAACTTGAATTATTTTAAATATGATTTTGAAAACTGATGACAACAGTTGTATTTTTTAAAAGTCCTAATTACTTTTTTAAATATAATAACTAGTAGTACATATACAAACTAGTAATTAAAAGTAAAAAACCAACATTGGAGTATAATCTTAAAGCCTTCCCAGGAAGCGCGTGCGGTCGCACTCCTTGTGTGTCTACGCTTAAAGTAATTTTTTAGACAATTTGACCAGGTTTTTATATAGTAAGCGTTTTAAGACTTAGCATCAAAACAAAGCTATAAGAAACTAGAGAATAAAACAACAATACTCGAAGAAAAGAACCGAAGACTATACAAAATAGAAAATCTAAACAAAATAAGCTAAAAAAAATTAATAATAAAAAAAGAAAATTGTTGTCAAAAAAATAATATACCTAAATATTTTACTCTTTTTGTTTTCTTATTTTTAGGGCGTTTGTTATTTACACTACTTATATAGTCAAGCAATAAAGTAGATAAGAATATTACAAAAACAAAAATATTTTTTGATATAAAATTTTTTGCGACATTTTTCAGTTAGTATATAAAGGAAATACTTCATAAATTACACTTTTTCTAACTATTAAATTTTCACAAAAAAATTTTAAAAAGTTTATTTAATTAAACTTGATATTTCGTTACAATTTTATTTTATTTTTTCTTGGTAATTAAGTTTAGCTTTTTGCCGCAAATTATTGAAACGCTTTCTAAGTTAAAAGAGCTGCCGTGGTCAGTTTGTCTAAAAAAAATACTTTAAATGTGGGCAAACAAGACGCGCATTTATTCTTCTATTTATTTTAACATATCATGTTACAATAAATAGAAGAATAAATAGATGAATAAATAGATAAATAAATAGATAAATAAATAGAAGAATAAATAGAAGAACAAATAGAGAAATAAATAGAAGAATAAATAGAGAAATAAATAGAAGAATAAATAGAGAAATAAATAGAAGAATAAATAGAGAAATAAATAGAAGAATAAATAGAAGAATAAATAGAGAAATAAATAGAAGAATAAATAGAAGAATAAATAGAAGAATAAATAGAAGAATAAATAGAAGAATAAATAGAGAAATAAATAGAGAAATAGAAGAATAAATAGAATAAATAGAAGAATAAATAGAAGAATAAATAGATAAATAAATAGAAGAATAAATAGAGGAATAAAGAGAAGAATAAATAGAAGAATAAATAGAGAAATAAATAGAGAAATAAATAGAAGAATAAACAGAGGAATAAATAAATAAAGATAGATAAAAAGTTTACAGGATTTTAGATTTATAATATAATTAAAGATATAGGTTATGCTGCAAACTTAATTACTCAATTTTTAAATTTCAAAATAAAATATTCGAAAAAAAATTTTCTAAATTAATTACCATTTGAGATCCAGTTGAAAATGATCCTAGTTTACAGTCTCTTGGTATAGAAGTTGTTGTTGGGCATTCTTTGCCTGCAGGACATTGAATACAACTAACAGCTTCACCAATTGTATAGGAACCCTAAACAGAATAATAAAATTGTACTTTAGAAATAAACCTTTTTAAGTTCACTTAAATGGTTTTAAAATATTTATTTATTATGAAACTTTTTTGTTCTTTCAAATAATATTAAAAATATAATAAACGTTACAAAAGGACACTGTATGTTGCTTGATCCATCTGTTAGAGGACAAGCCCATCCGGCAGGACATTTTTTACAAGTTCCACTATTAGAGAAAGAGCCTTTGGGGCATGGAGATGCTGCATATGCAAATGGAGTTTCACATGCAAATCCATCAGGACACAAAGAACATTCTGCTTGACCTTCATATGAATATGTGCCTTAAAAATAATTTGATTAAGGTAAGAGATTTAACAAAAAAAAAAAAAAAATTTTTATAGCTGTTTTATAGTATTAAACTATTTTCCAAGCAAAATTTCTTTATTTTAATATTCTATCTTATTAAAGTCTCTTTGTTTATATTAATATTGTCTCTTGGTTCAGGTTTTGGTTCAAATTTTGCTTGGTTCCAAGCAAAATTTCTTTATTTTAATTTATCTTATTAAAGTTTCTTTATTTAATTTGGATAATGCTTTATCTTCATAAAAAATAAAAATACCACGGGGACAGTCATTAGAGGAGTTTGAAGACCGAGAGCTGCAAGCTTTACCAGCTGGACACAGATTGCATACAAGTTGACCACCCAATGAAAATTCACCTGGGCGACACAATTCTGGACGCTTCTATTGAAAGTATTTTAAAATATATTTATAAAATAACCAATAACAATAACAATTCAACACTAAAAGTAATACAAAATGTAAATAAATTAAATTGAAAATTAAACTCACATTAACATTGGGACACCTATATCCTGCAGGACATAATGTGCATGAAACAGATGATCCCAGACTGAATGAACCAGGTTTACAAACAACTTTTTTGCCTCTATAAAAACCCCTTGCAAATTTAGTAATTTAGGGGGAAAGCAATATAAAGAAAAGGTTACAAAGTTAAAAAAAATCAAACTAAAAATTAATTTTTAATTTTAAAAAAATTGCTAATTTGAAATAAAACCAGTTAAATTGTATCTTTAAGATATCATAGATAACAGATTTACCAACACATTCTATCTTCTCTCCACTATTTTATTTTTTCCTACATTTTTTGTTCATTTATATTTATTAACCAAAAGTATATTTTCTACGCCAACAATCAAAAAAGAAATACAACTGTATCTCTTATGAACATTGCTTTCAAATTGTACAAACAATAAAGTTTGTTCCAGCTCCTATATCCTCTATCCTATACCCTTTTATTTTAACTTCATCTTTCCAACACTAAATTCTTTGTATTAATGCTTTGTTGCAATCATCCAGTTGTAAAAAGTTACTTAAAATAATCAATAAATTTAATAATATATATTATTCAAATAAGAAAATTATTAAATAACAAATCTTCTAGCCCAAAAGATTTAATGATTTTCTAAAGTTAAGCTCCAAGTTAATGGGCCAAAACAATATTCTTATATAATATGTATCATAGTTATGATATTTTTTGTTTTTTATATTATTTTGTAGCATTTTTAAAAATATGTCTGATGATTTGCACTAGTTGCACACTGACTGTCATTTGGATACCAACGAATAAAATTGACTTCACAACATCAACAATCGAATATGCCAGCTGCTTTAATAAATATTAATAATGATAAGTTAGAAAGTTTAAGTATAATAATAATGATAGTCAGTGACTCAAGCCAGTATATATGTCATCTTTTTAAAGGATTAGCAATATAATGGTTGGTGCAGATTATTAAACACAGTTAGAATATTTTTTTTTAATGTATTTTATTCTGTGTAACTAATTAAAATACTATAACATATTAAACACAATGTTGTGTTAAATTCAACACTATCATTTTAATTTAATACTTTTTACACCTATAAAGTAAACTAAAGCAAAATATAAGATCAATCAATAGAAGTAGCTCTAACAAAGATTAAAAAGCTTTTAATTTTTTTTAATTTGCGAGACCCTGAAGACAGAAAATACATTATTAAAAAATTCTTTAATATGTTTTTTAATAAAAATGTAATTTTAATGGTTATTTTATTTGAAATAAGCAAATTATGTAATTTATCTTTTATATGTTAAGCAATTTAAAAGTAGTTTTTCAATATTTGCATTGGTTCTCGTAACAGTTAAACTTAATGGTTCTGCATGTAAACCAAAGCTAAAATCAGGCAGGTTTCCAGATGTTTTCATATAGATTCTAGTTGCAAATCTATATGGGATACTTACAGTTTTAAAGTATGGTACTTCGTTGGAACCCATACAGAATAATTGGCAGACTAAACCATATGAGCCCCAGATGAAAACCACTGTCAAAATTAGGCAGGATCCCAGAGGGCATCCCAAATGAGTCCCAGTTAACAAGCCAAACAGTACCTGTATCAATGTTGGCTGGGTAATGTTTTAGTATAATACTTTATGAAGTCATAAAATGGTTGCCAAGCTCCTTTTTTTTTTAAAAAAAAAAATTGTTTTGTTTAAGTATAGTGTTTCTATAGCAATGAGTAAGATCAACTTTTAGTTGATTTTAGTTAATCAAAGTGTTTAGATTAGTAAAACTGATCTAAGTGGGAGAACACTGTTGCTGCTGACAACAATGTTTACAATGATGGTGGTGACGATAATGACAAATACCAAGATTATTAGAAGACTTGTATTATTAGAAGAATTACAAATAGAAGACTTATATTACAATAAATCAAATTCAATTAGCAAATAGTTTTTTAACTGAAAAAAAAAATTTTTGTCCTCAAATCTTTTGAAATTAAAACTCTGATGACATTATGGAAAAAAAATTTTTTTTTTTACTTAGTAAACTCAAAAAATTGAAAAAAATTGATTTATCATTTTAATGGTTTTTACAAGTTCAACAAGTCAAAAACTGTGTGTCTTTGAATTGAGAAACTTTTGATTTAGAATTTCCACAAACTAAAACGCTTATTTACAACGCATACGTTTTGAGTTTTTTTAGAAAATACTTTGTAAGAAAATTTCATTCTGCCATTCTCATTTTATAAAAATCATATAATAATTAATTTCTACTTAGTGTGTCATAAAAATTTTTGCATACTTTACATTGGAATTTTAGATCTCATGACTGCACCACAAAACTTCAAAGCATATTTTTATATTATGGCTTGCGGTCTAAATATGGACAATTAATCAGTAAAACTGCCACAGGGTGTCATCTACTGTAAAGGTATTCTGCATTATTTAACCCAAATTTTGTTTTGTGCTGCAGATTTTTATACTAATACTGATAAAAACAGAAAATTTTTATAAATAAATTTTTATAATAATTAAATATTTTTAAATAAATATTTAAAGTAAATATTTTTAATATAATTAAATATATTAAATATTTTGTAACAATCCCAAAGCAACTATTAGAAAAGAAGTCTTAAAATTCAAAAATTCAACTACATGCACTTAATTTGACTTCAACTACGTTAACTCAGGAAAAAAACCTATGATTTATTTATGTAACTGCTATTGGTGCAAATACTTATAAACAAATAGTAATGGGTTGTTATTATTTGTCATAAAATACTTTTTTTTAAACATAAAAAAAAACTTACTCAGGATGAGGGCACTCATATCCTGGAGGACATTTTTCACATATTGTTTGATTTACTTTTTCATCAGTGTATTCTCCAAAACGGCAAGGAACAGGTGAAATAAAAGGATTTGGGCACATATAACCGGTTGGGCAAGTATTACAAGTTGATTCTCCATTTAATGAATAGGTTCCTAATGGGCATATTTCTGATTTTGATGTTGAGGATGAAGGACAGGGTCTTCCAGCAGGACAGGGAGAGCAGTATGCAATGCCCTAAATGTGTTTGCAGTATATTTAAGTAAAAGTATTACTTTAAAACAGAACTAAATTCATGTTCACACTCACTCACATTAAAACTAAAGGTTCCATCTTTACATGGTACAGGGATTTTTGATGGATCAATACAAGACATTCCCTCAGGACATGGTAAGCATGTTGAGTTACCACCAGTAGAATAGGTACCTAGTTTACAAAGGACAGGAGGCAATAAAGGATCATCACAGGTATAACCAAAAGGACATAAAATGCATTTGGAAATCTATTAAAAAAAAAATATATATATATATATATATATATATATATATATATATATATATATATATATATATATATATATATATATATAAGTTAGTAAAAACATATCTAAATTTCTTCTACAGTCTGTTTCTCCTTTCGCAGGTTCATCAGGAATAATTCTTTTTTAAAATAAATAATAAATTTAATAATAAATAATCTTAGTATTATAATTTGCAAATCAAAAGTTAAAGAATATTAAATTTATACTAATTATTATTATAATAAATAGTGAAGCAACATTATAAGGTAGAAAAAATTTAGAAGCAACATTGTAAGGTAGACCTTGTAGGAAAGAAGTAGATACATTGGTTAAGAGTTAAGAGTTAAAATTATATATTGCATATGTTCTCTACTATATTTGAAAAACAATGGTTTTGTGCAACAATGATTGCAAAGAAATGAAAAAATACTGAGCAAATTTATTATGTAAATTTCCACAATCTTTTAATTTTTTTTTTTAATTTAATTGGTGCATCATGAATGATAAGTTGTAAAAAACTTTTTTTTTAAATGGTATTATTAATCTACTTTATAGTATTACAACCCAGCATATACAACATCTTATATAGATGTCACAAGTTTGTGGGCATCTTTAGACATTAAATGAATGTTCTGTGCCTACTTTTAATTGGTGCATCATGAATGATAATTTGTAAAAAACTTTTTTTTTAAATGGTATTATTAATCTACTTTATAGTATTACAACCCAGCATATACAACATCTTATATAGATGTCACAAGTTTGTGGGCATCTTTAGACATTAAATGAATGTTCTGTGCCTACTGATAAATGGCTGTAATTTTAAAAATGTTTAATTTTGTCAAGTAAAAAAATAAAAAATTTGTTGAAATTAAAATAAAAATTAAAGTTAATTAAGAATTAATTAACTTAAAAGAAAAAAATCCATAAAAACAATTTTCAATTATTTTTAAATAACTGAAAATTAAATTGATAAATTAGCAACAATATGCACAAAACATTGCCTTCTTTAAAACAAATATTTTAAATTTTATATGAAAATGTAGTTTTATTTGTGTTCTTTATATTTTTCATTAATATTTTAAATGAAGTTATGAAGACAGCAAACACGTACACCACTGACATTTCGAATTTATAATCATTCTTATTAGAATTTTAATAGAAAATTGAAACCAAATTTTTACAATGTTTTAAAAACAAATTAAAAAAACATAGTAAAGTACAAGTACTATAAAAAACATGAAAACAAGAAGTTGTTATTTTTAATTAATTTTATAATTTTAGTTATTTATACAATTATGCCTTATTTTAGCAAGATGGAGGAAACAACATGCTTTAACTGATGAAATGAATATTATATAAATACATATTTTAAAATCATATAATTTGTATTAATAAACGCACACTTAAAAATATCACTTAAATATAATAGTTCTAAGTATATATAGTTTTTTGTTTTTTGTTTTTTTGAGTTGTCCTTACTTTAATAAAGATGACACTTTTAAATTGTTTAAAAAAAATTGTTGAGCGTGCTCATAACAACTTTTAACTGCTTTGGATTTGGACAAATCAAATGCAAACCCAGCTGAATTGGAATTGCAACCAACTTCTTTTGAAGCAAACCTGTGGCCTTATTTAAGCAACCACTTTAACTTCAAGTGCAAGAAAGGCAACAGCTTTATCATGCAGTGTAAACTGTGTTTTCCCAAGTTGACTGAAATAGAAGCATATAAAAATTCTCAAATCTCCGCAAGCATGTTGAAATAATTTAATTTTAATTGTATACTTTTATAATATTTTAGCACTTTTATCATCAAATAATATTTCTCGTATATCATCACAAAAATTAGGCTCTCGTGACTTCTGGAGAATCTTTAATAGTATCAATAATAAGGGCAAGTCTGTAATTCCACCTCTTTTGTACGGTTCAGACTTTGTCACCTCACCTAAAGACAAAGCTGAATTGTTTGCCAAGAACCTTTCATCAATATCATCTTTTGATTCCACTAGTTGCGTTCTACCTGATATAGCCGTTAAACAGGTTGATCCACTGCTTGACATCCGTATCACTCCAGCTTCTGTATCTAAAGTGATTTCCTGCTTAAACTCTTCTACAGCTTGCGGCCCGGACAACATACCTGTTATAGTCTTGCAGAAGTGTTCTCCGAAGCTGTCGTCTATCCTTTCAAAACTATTTAACAAGTGCTTATCAGAGTCTTGTTTTCCAGTCTGCTGGAAAGCAGCATCTGTTATCCCTACTTTTAAAAATTCTGGAGACCGATTCATCTAACTACCATCCCATTAGTCTTCTTCCTATCATAAGCAAGATTTTTGAATCTTTAATTAACAAACACTTAATCTCTCATCTCGAATCTCATAACCTACTTTCTGATCATCAATATGGATTTCGATCTTCTCGTTCTACGGCTGATTTGCTAACAGTAATAACCGATAGGTTTTATCGCGCATTAGATAAAGGTGGAGAGGTTAAGGCCACCGCTCTTGACATTTCTAAAGCGTTTGATAAAGTTTGGCATGCTAGTCTTCTCCATAAGATTTCTTCTTACGGTGTATCTGGAAACATCTTTAAGATTATTGAGTCCTTCTTTTCCAATCATAGTATAAAAGTTGTCCTTGATGGACAGCACTCTTCTTATTATTCTGTAACCTCAGAGATTCCTCAAGGTTCAATCCTTGGCCCTATACTCTTTTTAATTTACATTGTCAATCTTCCAGATATTCTCACATCTAAGGTGGCATTGTTTGCTGATGATACTACAATTTATTCTTGTCACGATAAGAAGCAAACTACCTCTGATTGCTTGCAAGGGGCATTTGAGCTTGAAAAGGATCTCACTTCTGCTACAGCATGGGGCTCACAGTGGCTGGTGAACTTTAATTCAGATAAAACTCAATTTTTTTCAGCCAATCGTTATTGCAATAATTTAGACCTTCCTATATTTATGAATGGTAATGTACTCGATGAGTCTCCTACCCTTCATCCTACCGATGAGTCTTCTAGGATTAACTCTTACTTCCGATCTTTCTTGGAAACCATATATCAAATCCGTTGCAAAATTAGCATCTGCTAAGGTTGCCTTACTCCAGATTTTATTCTCTATAAATCTCTATAAATCTCAAATCTGCCTTGTATGGAATACTGTTGCCATATCTGGGGTGGATCTTCTAATGATGCCCTTTCTCTTTTAGACAAGGTGCAAAAACGCATTGTAAACATAGTTGGACCTGCTCTTGCAGCCAACCTTCAACCTCTGTCACATCGTCGTAATGTTGCTTCTCTTTCTCTTTTCTACAAATACTATAATGGGCACTGCTCTAAAGAGCTATCGTCTCTTGTGCCATCTACTAAAATTCATTCTCATGTTACTCGTCATTCAATTAAGTCTCATCTTTTTTCTGTTACTGTTCCTAAGTGCTCCAAAAACTCTTATTCGTCTAGTTTTTTTCCTCGAACATCAGTTCTTGGAATTTGCTTCCTTCATCTTGCTTTCCTGATTCATATAATTTGCAATCTTTTAAGTTGTCTGTCAATCGTTATCTTGCTCTACAATCTTCATATTTTCTCTTCCAGTAACTTCCAACACTAATTAGTGGTTGCTTGCAGCCTTGTTGGAAGCGAAGATGTTAAAAAAAAAAAAAAAAAAAAAAAAAGATGATACTGCCATTCAGTTAAAAAAGACTTTGCTTTCAATCCTCAGTAAAGTCAGGTTCATTGCAACAACTACTGATTGCTGGTCTGCACACCAGCAAACTTTCATAAGGGTGACAGCTCATTGGATTGATGAGGAAAACCTTGGAAAGGAGATCCCCTGCACTTGCTTTCCAGAGATTGAGGGGGTCACACACCTTTGATGTACTGGCAGGCATTCCAAATGACATTCATTGTAAATACAGAATAAGGGGATAAGTGGGACAGACAGCGGCTCAAACGTTATCAAAGCATTTAATATTTTTGATAAGAAAAGCCGAAATCAGGAAGCAGAGTTGAAATCAGAACAAGGTTCTTGCCAAGAGTCTGAATCTGAGTACCTTGGCATGTTTGATATCCCTGAAAAGGACAGTGGTCTTGAGTACCAGCTTCCTTTACATCAAAGGTGTGCATGCCACTTGTTAAATTTAGTTGCCACAACTGATGCTGCCACAGCAGAAAAAAACAATGACACGTATAAATAGCTATCACAAGCTGCCTTTGGGAAATGCCAAGTAATTGGAACAAGACAGGTCGGTCATACTTGGCAGTAGAAACTGTTGAAGAGAGATGCAAGATCCAGTTCATCAGGCCAAATCAGACTAGGTGTTATTTGACATACTCTCCACATGGCTGTGTAGAGAATGTTATGGATCATACAAGAAAAAGGCCCCAATGCTATCAGAAATGTGTGTGAAGAATTCAAAGTAAAAATGTGAGTTTTTTTATATAATTTAATCAGTGCAATCAAATAAGTATAAAATAATACTGATTGAAATAATTACATAAAGTACTTTTTCTCATATTTTTTAAATATTTATTCCACACCTCTTTGTGCAAGAAATGTCTATAAATTTGCATTTGCTGTGGGTTCTACAGGTTGAATCCAGTTACAATTATTTTCCTGATGAAATACTGCGTTTGTATGAAACCTATTGTTAAAGCAATGGACATTCTTCAGTCTGACACCAACACACACATGGGATGGCCCCTACCAGTGATCTTCCAGATAAAAATAAAATTCAGCTGCCTTGAGACATCTCCAAAATGTCTGACCCTTATTAAAGCAATTCAGCATGGTGTCTAAAAACATTTTTGGTAAAATGATGCAAGACCCAGAACTGATTACTGCAGCAAATCTTCTGCCAAAGTTCAAGAACACCTGAACTGATAGGACTGAAATTATAGGAGCAGGTATGATTTCCATTTTATTATGTCATAGTGCAGGGCTCCATTTATTGGTCAGACATTGTTTGGCTAAAACCTCAAATTATCCGATCAATTTGCAAATTAATCTGACATTTTGCCCAAAGGGAATTAAATTCTACAAAATAAATACTTTAGTATATATATAAAAATTAAAATTAAAAAAAAAAAAAATGAAAAGCTTTAAAATAAAACTCAAAGTTAAAATTACTTTTTGTTTTTAAAAGTTTTAACATTTTTTTCAAAAAGTTGAACAAAAAAAAAATAGTTTAAAAAAACAACGATGTCTTTTTAAAATTGTAATTTTTAACCATTTCATTCTTTGATTAAAAGTCAAGTTTAAAAAAACAAACAACTTTTAAAAAAATTCTTAGTAAAAATAGAAACAAAAAACAAAAAGCAATTAAATCTTGGGAAGATTTAAATTTCATAATTTAAAGCAACTTGAAAATAATAATCTTTTAATAAAAGATTTTTAGAAAGACTTTTTTATGATAAATTTAAATGCTTGAAACTATTTTAAAAATAGTTTCAAAAAACTATTTTAAAAATAGTTTCAAACATTTGAATTTATTATAAAAAATACATACCTACTGAAAAAAAAGTTAAATATAACATTTAATTTAAACATAATGCGTTTATTTTAAATTATAATTTTTGATTTTATTTAAAGTATGCTCTCTATAATAACTAATTCATAATAACATAAAGTACAAGCCTCATCAGTGTTACTCCAATATGTTCCTTTTCTACACGGAATGGGTAAAACAGAAGGATTAACACAAAAGAAACCAATTGGACAAGGTATACAAAACGTAGATCCAGCTTCACTGAAAGAGTCTAAAAATTGAGAAGAACTTATTATGGATAAAATATTAAAATTTTCAATTTACAAAATAAAAAATAATCAACAATGAATATTAAAACAAATAATAATAGTACTAAATAATAAACCCTCAATAATAACATGTCAAAAGTAAAATATAATAAGAAATAAAGAATATAAATAGAAGAAGAAGAAAGACAATATTGCAAAAAAAGCCCTATTTAACCCTGTTTCTGTCAAAAGAAACAATGTATTTAAATATTTTGTCAGAATATATGAGAAGAATTTAAAACTCTAAAGTTTTCTTTTGATTGTTTATAAACACATATGTTGTACAAAACATTTGTTAATTTTTTGTTATTTATTGCTTGTTGATGCAATCAATTGTATATACCAGGTCCCAAGAGGAATCTGTCCTTAAATCTCTTTCTTTTTTTTTGTGGCTGATGGTATTCAGAAGCTTTAAAAATGTGAGTGGCATGATTTGCATTAAGAATAAAATTCAGTCCTTGGAGTTTAAAAATTGACTTAAAAATACGAATTTTTTCCCTAAAATTAATGCATCAGCCACTTAACATTATTGGGGCACTGGATACAAAAACTGGAAGAAACAATCTTTTTGTTACTATCAAACCTGGAGTCCTTTTTATAAGATTCCTCATTCCTGGTATAAAATGTTTGGTTAATTTTGTGATAAATATTTTATTAATTAATATTACTAAACATAATTTTTATCAAAAGAAAGACTTTAAAAACAAAACAACAAAGAAAGTCAGGTATTTTATAAACTCAATAAGTTTTAACTTCTTAAAGATTTTATTTAAAGTTTTTAAAAGTTTTGATTTTATTTAAAGTTTTTATTTTACGCCTTTGCGTAAAATAAAAACTTTAAAAAAGATCAACGATTAAAAGTTATTTGTAATGTAACGATTTTTTTTATTGTTAAAACATCAAAAAACCTGTTGTCAAGTATAATAAAAAGTTGTAAAGTATAATAAAAAAAAAAAAGCATTGTCAGTTGGAAGTTCAAGTCTATTTAAAAAACATGCAATATTTAATTGGAACTATTTTATTAAAAAAAAACAAAAATCAGCGATAAAATATTTAAAATAACTAATGTTAAATAAACTTAATAACATGACAAAGATTTCGATTGCATAACATGGTTATATTATAACCATGTTATGCAATCGAAATCATGGTTATATTATAACCATAAATTATATTTAAAAAATTTGATCGGACACTGTCCGATTTTAAAAACAAAACAACAAAGAAAGTGAGGTATTTTATAAACTCAATAAGTTTTAACTTCTTAAAGATTGTAACACATTTTTGTCACCAATAATAAAAAATGGAAAAATAAATGCTATAATAAAAAAATTAATGAAAAAAACTAATTACAAAATTATTCTTACTAGCAATACATGTATGACAAATTTCATCACCAAGCGGGCTGTAAGTTCCTGCATCACATAATATTGGTGGTTTACCCATTGGGCACATACTACCACTTGGGCAAAGAACACATGATGATGATGCATTTGTACTGTAATGTCCTTGTGGACACGCCTAATAAAGATACCAATATAAATAAGAAAATCTACAATATATATACTTACTACTGAATTTTGTTTTGTAGGATATATAGAAAAACAAACTTGAAATTTTAAAAATGGAAAAATCATTTTTTTATTAGGAATTGTAGCAAATGCAATTATAACATTGACTTAATGAAAGTAAGTCAAAAGTTTTTATGTTAAAATAAGCTGATGCTTTATTATTATATGAATTAATATAAATAACATAATAAATAATATATAATATAAATTAACCTTATTATATGAAATAATTTCTTAATAATAATATTGTTGGTCAGGACAAAGTTTTAATTGATTTAATAAATTATTATTTATTAAATTATTTATTTATTGTAATTTTAATATAATATATTTTTAACAATTTCTTTGATTAGAATTTTTTAGTCATAAATTGTATTTTATTAATTGATAACGTTATATAGTTGGTGTTCAATAAAAATATAATGCAGTTATAGTACACAAAAACAAAATATATTTTGTTACAAATTTAATACTCTTTATTTGTATTTAATGCACTTTGTAATAAGGTTGCCCATTTCTAAGAAAATAATGGCAAAACAAAAGATAACAAAAAAATTATTTAAAGTACATTAACTCTACAGAAAAATGTTCACCCTGAACCATTTGAAAACAGAAAATTTTCCAAGACAACCCATCTCCAACATAACCTAGCAGGCTGAAACTTATCCTGGTTATAAGAGAGTTAAAGGAAGTGGTCATATTACTAGAACAATGATTAAAAAATTTATTAGGCAAACATATGAGGTGCAGAACTCACATGTACTGCCTCATACACTTTCACTAAATCTATCATCAGTAGGTATACAACTACAGTGAACAGTTAATATCTGGAACCCTGGATAACTCAAAGTACTTTCAAGTTCCCCTTGAACCTTCACTAATACTTTTTCATAAGAATCACTTGATAACTCAAACCCCCATTAGCTCAAACATTTGCTAAATTAAACCATTATATCTGTTCCTGTTAATATTCTTCCAATAACTTGAACTTTAGTAGAAAAATCAAAACAAAATCTTAGTAAAAGTTTTTGTTTTTTTTTAATTAAGTTAAACTTGGCCACACCCAAGTTAAGGAAACTTGGTCACAGCCAAGTTTTCTATCAACATTTGAAAAAATTTATTTAAACTGTGATGAAGGTCTTGCATTGTAACGTAAAAAATTTTAACAGTTTTGATATTAGAATAGTTTATAGTATAAGCTATGCTAGCATGCATTGGAATATTATAATAAAAGTTGTGTATTTTGTTTACATTTTACAATGCTGCTGTCGTTGTAAAGAGAAAAATTAACACAAAATCAATCAAAAAAAAGAACACTGCTTTAAGGGAAATTGGAGAAGGATCGTCAAAGTCTCAGATTACTATGAAATATGGCATTCCAAAAAATACACTGTCAATATGAATAAAAAATAAATAAATAATATTTTCGAATCTATAAAACGCAAAGGAAGTCAAAATGAATTTTAACACTTTAAATTTAGATAATCTCCTTTTTAAACGGCTTTTACATGTAAGGAGTACATTTAAAAGCCATTTACATACTGATGCTGATCTTGCTACAAACGTAGCAGGATCAGCATCAATTCTAAATACAAAAGGAAGAGAACTTGTTAAAAAGAATAATACTGATGGTTAGCTTGATTGTTACAAAAATAGATAAAATGTTCCTTCTAAGATGGTATGTGGAGAGTGTTGTTAATGTACATTAAACCACAGATTTAGATCCGGTCACAGACTTGTATTTGGTAACTCTTGTACAGCTGATATGACCACATCATGAAAACAAATGACCATATCATGGAAACAAATGACCACATCATGGAAACAAATGACCACATCATGGAAACAAATGACCACATCATGGAAACAAATGACCACATCATGGAAACAAATCTCTCTACAATTTTATCAAGGTATAAACTTGATGAAACTTATAATGCAGATAAATTTGGATTATTTTTTCGTATGCAATCTAATAAGTCAATAAATTTTCTATTTGAGGCTTGTATAGAGGGAAAGCACAGTAAAATATATATTTTACTGGGATGGCTGCAGCAAATGAAGCAATTGATAAACCTCCATGTTTTTAATAGGTAAACCAAAATCACCTTGCTGCTTCAAAGGAGTTAAGCACTCATCTTGCAAATAAAGAAATCAAAATAAAAACTGGATGGATAGCACACTGTTCGAAGAGTGAATACAGGATACAAAAGTTTACAAAAGAAAAAAAGTAAGTAGCATTTATAATAGATAACTGCCCAGCATATAACAATAATCTAAAATCTATTGTGCTCATTTTTACCACTGAATACTACATCTAAATTTCAACCAATGGATCAGGGCATTATACACTCTTTGAAAGTTTATTACAGATCTTTGGCATTACAAAGACTGGTCATAGCTATCAATATAAGAAAAGATCTTCCCATTTTTTTGATTTTATATGCAATGAAAATGTATGAACTTGCATGGCAAAAGGTGAAAACCTTACCATTGTTTCATAAAATCAGGAATATCAGAAGATCAACAGCAATCTGACCAATCGGATGAAGACGGCAACCTGTTTAAAGAGCTTCAAAATCGGATAAAAAAAATGTGATAATTTTTACCCTCCAGGTACAACAGCTGAAGATGTCATTTTTGCAGATGAAAACATAATGAGCACAGTAACTTTGTATGTACCACAGTACCCATTTACTTCTTCTATTAACAGATGAACAGTTGATAAAAGAAGTAAAAAAAGCAGGGAATGAACATGATGCTGATGACAAAGAAGATAATGATGATGATAATGCGATCCAGTTTGCCCATTATACTGATACTTGGGAAGCACTGCAAGTTTTGTATGACTATATGCCCTTTAGTCTTAGTTGTGAAGATTTTCAATAAAAGCTCAATGCAGCCTTAATTATATTTAACAGAGACATTTCTTTAAAACTGTGACAGAGTGACATTAGAACTAATTGTGACAGAGTGACATTAGAACTAAATAAACATTTTTTGTTTTTACCTTTGATACCTTTGAACTTTTGATAACTTGAATAGTTTTTACTTATCAAAAAAAGTTTGTGTTATAGAATGTCCTGATAACACAAATATTTGCTAACTTGAACTATTTCTTTGGTCACTCGGAGGTTCAAGATATTAAGAGTTCACTTTAATTATATTGGGAATAACTCATGATTCTTACAAGAACACTCTATATATTGTGACCTAACATATTACCTAACAATATATACAAATCAATTAGCATAGCAATAAGTGTACACATGCTATATTGAACACAACATTGCGTCTAACAGCTTTAGAGTTTGGGAGGGGATTTGCGGCAATTTTCTTGTTACGTCCTGGGAAAACTCTTGTAGGGACATCATATAGTAATATTTTGTTCAAAAGATATCCTTGCGCATACCTCATCTAACAAATTTTTTACTGCTTGTTTAGGACAAAATAAAACATTATTGAGGATATTGTACTGAAGCAGGATCTCCTGTTCCAGTATATTATCCTCATAACTCCTGCATTTAATAAGAGAATTAAAAAAAATCAATATTAGGTGGAAAAATTATTGCGCGAAAATAAAACTCTATTGTAGATATGTAAAATTATAAAAAAACATATTATATAATAATAGTGCTAACCTGACAAAAAATACTTCCAGCTGTACTAAAACTGCCTTCATCACATGGTTTAGGATCTTCAGTAGCATTAAAGCAATAGTATCCAGATGGGCACAATTCACACAAGACTGATCCTTTACTGTTAGCATAGGTACCTAAGGGACAGCTTATGGGTTTGATAACAGATGAAGGGCAAAAATGACCTTCATAACATAAAATACATGCTGTACCATTTGAAAAATAACCAGGCTAAAATAATTTGTAATAACTTGTAAATAATTATAAAACTCTCAAAAAAATAAAGTTAATTATTAATTAAAAATAAAAACTTTTATACATGATATAAAATATATATAAATATATTTATATATACACATACATGTATGCTTGTATATAATACCTTATCACTGCATTGAATAGGCACTTTTGAAGCATCAACTACTGCTGAATTTGTTGTTGCAGTTAAACAAACTGATTGGGCCTCCTTGTCTTGATACTATATTAAAAAAAATTGTGTATATATATATATATATATATATATATATATATATATATATATATATATATATATATATATATATATATATATATATATATATGATATATATATATATATATATATATATATATATATATATATATATATATATATATATCAAGCAATAAAAAATAACAAAGAATCTACAAAATCTACAAAGAATATTTTTCATTAAATCTTTTAAACTTTCTCAGACAGAAAAAATATATAAACATATACTTGTTTTAAAGGACAAATTTTTTACAAATATAATAAAATATTGCCTAAATAATAAATAAAATACAAGCCTAAATATGTTTTACTAAATTATGTTTAACATAATACTTAGGATTAAACTATCTACGGGGTCATTAAAGGTATTTATAGGAGTCATAGGTAAAAAAGGTTTTACTTTAATAAAGGAACTAGCGTAGAGCTTAGAACTATACACAAAACTAATACGTTTATTTATTTATTTTAATTAACATCTTTTCTCTGCACAGGGAATCCACTAAAGTATCAAAAAGGGAAGCACAATAAAAGACATCATAATTAGTTATAATATTGTAAAAAGAATACAAGATTACATTTCTGCCTTCAGAGTAAGAGAGTCTACTACTCATTGTTCAAATTTGGTGCAACTATTTGCCAGAGGAGTTGAATATAAACAAAGTGTATATAATTTTTAATGATCTGTATCCAGATCTGCAGATTTCTTATGAAACGTACAGAAACATTTTTAGCAAAATTTAAAATAAAATTTCTTATATCAAAACCTCATCTTTATGATATAAAAGTTATTTAATTGTGTTTTTTTATGTATTACTTTGCATTTTTCTTTGTATTTTTGATGCTTAGTTTATATATTTTTGTTATTTAATTTTTGTTCATTTGGTTGTGTGCAAGCTATTGACTTTATCCAGCTTTTGATAAGTATTCCTGTGTGGGTCATATTTTCATCAACAATGAAATATACAGCTAAAAAAAATTTATTAAGAATCTGTATTATAGTAACGACATTTTATCTAAAAAATAAAGTAAAATAAAAAACTTTTAGTGATACGAAGCAAGATATTTTCAAACAAACAGCTTGATATTTTCAAACAAACAGTTGAAACAAACAAAGAGTTATCATATTTGTAAAGTTTAAAAAAAAATTTTGGATTTGAAAAACACTATTTTACTCCTAATCAAAGTTTTTCCTCATTGATGTTGAGAAGTTCTAAAAATATTTAAAGACTTAACTACTTCGTGATGAAAAATGAAAAATATTGAAAGCCTTTTTTTTACTTTGCAATGAAAAAATCAGAACTTTAAGAGCGCAGAAACTTTGTACTCAAAGTCTTTACAAAAAATGGTAGCCAAGACTCCCAGACTCTGAGCCTAAAATATTTAGTTCTAAGACTAAAGATCCCCTGTATTTTTTTCTTAATGTATTTTGGACTTATTTATTGAATGTATTATTTTCCCAATGTTGACCATAAGTTTCATAACATTTTTGTAGCGTATAAACACCAAATATCAGAGTACTATAAATAGCGGTTTTATGACTTACAAAACAGTCGAATTTAAGATTTTGCATTCCTGATGAGAAGTATAGAAAATGAATTTAAAAACAGAAAAAGAAACACTGAAGAAAAATCTCTACATTATTCTGTAAATTTTTTTCTTGGTTTACCAAGAAAATAACAAAAAATATTATCTCCTATTATTTGAAAAAATTCTAAATCATATAGGTATATAATGGGGCATCCACACACAGATGAATATTAAATAGATCAACATCTGGACAATTTGTTTTATAAACTTTTTTTTTAATACATAACTAAAACTTATTTTTAACTTATAAAAATTATTAAACTAATACTTTCTTTATAACCTTATATAAAATTAACCTGGCCTTCTCCACATTTCTGTGGTGGTTTATCTGGAAACGGACATTTATGCCCTGTTGGACAAGAAAGACATTGTTCACTTCCATTGGATACCGAATAGAAACCTAATGGACACTAAAAATAAAAACATGTTTATAATAGATAAAAGTAAAACATTATTTTTAATGTTTATCATTATTTTTCAAATAAAATACAAATTATTGTAATAATAACAAATGTAATAATAGTATTATAAAACACAAATTATTTTTTGCATTAAACATAATTTAAACAACAAGTTAAATCTTACTACTGCACAATTGGTTTGACCAACAAATGCAGAATAAAAACCAGCTTGACATTCTACAGGACTATCTATTGCATTATAACAAGCATGACCTAAATTTTATTTGAATTTTTTTTTATCATTAGTTGTATTCGACTAACCATCTTTTTAAATCCTAATAAAAAACTTTGAATTGAAACTTTGAAAACATTATATGTGCCTTTATACTTTTTATAAATAATTTAACGTTTTAATAGCATAAAGAAAATAATATTTATAATTAACCTTTAGGACATGGTCTACACTGCTGAAAACCAACATCATCTGCATACCACCCACTAGGACACATGTATGGTGTAGATAATCCAGTGGAAGGACAAAAATGTCCCTTGGTACAATTAATACACTCATTAACACTTTCAGGAGAATACCAACCCATTTGACAAGCTGATATAGTTTGAACTCCATTAATTTTAAGACAGCTTAAAAAACATGAATAACTTGTATAAAGATCCTTGTTGACTAAAAGTCCTGCGCAACTATTTATGTGAATATATGCTAAAACAGATACGCATAAGTAACATGAAAATGAAAATACATTTAAAATTTACCTAAAACCTGCAGGACAAACCAAGCATTCAATCATTCCCAATAAACTGTACATTCCATCAGAACATTTAACAGGTTCTTCAATATTGTTTATACAGCTATAGTCAGCAGGGCACAAATAACAAGAAGTTTTATTTACTTTGTTTTGATAAGTTCCATTTGAGCATCGTGTCGGATAACTTAATCCATCAACTTCACAACTGTGACCTAGTGGACAACCTTCACAGGTCATTTGATCACTAGCAGCATAAGTCCCTTTCAAGCATTTTAAAGGATTGATTTTATCAGCACAACTATTTAAAAAATTTTTAAATTTTAAAAATTATCTTCATAAAGCAGATATTTTCAAAAAAAGAAAATAAATTAATTCATCAAAAGATCTGTTTTAATCGTATATTACCTATGTCCATCAGGGCAGGTAGTACAAACTATTGATCCCTTAGAACTATAAGTACCATTTCTACATGCTATACAGGTGTTATTAAATGAATAAGTGCCAGCTCTACATGGTTCACAAATAATACTTTCATTATTAGCTACATATCCTGGAGCACACTTCTATGGAAAAAAAATTATAATGTTAAACAAACATACTATTATGATGTGATTATAATTTTTTTTTTTTGAATGATTTCTATGTGATGTGTTTAAATAAATGCATAATAAAACAAAAAGCCATCTTAAGCACCATCTTAGACCAATTAATTCTAAAACAAATTTTGATTATTTGATAATCATAATAATCAAGTTGAAACTATAAACACAAACTATAAAGAAGATTATTAAACTTTTTTTATCATTAACCTACCCAAAGCTGAGTGGGCCACTACAGTTTAAAAAGGCAATTTTGTTTTGTTAGGTTTGTAAATAATCACTGCTGTGTAATCAAAGATGTGTAATTAAAGAGCATTTACTTCAAAGCTCAAAATAGAGTTCTTGAGATAAAGTTTTTGAAGCCAACCTGGTAGTATCATTCTCAACTTGTTTCTCAACACAGAAAACATTAATAAAGGTTTATAAATATTTTTTTAAAAAGCCACATTTCATTTTTTTTGAAAACAAAATATATAAAATATTGAACTTGGTTATCATTATCATTTTTATATATGGTTGTTAATGCAATAATATTATTTTACATAACTTTATATGTTTTATATGAACTTATATATTCAAATGACTTTAATGCTTATCAAACTAACCTGTGGGCTTTAAAACTCTATATATCTCCTCAATTTAAAATACAGCTGCTATTTCTAATCATAATCACCTTTTTCACACTCTTTTAAGAACAAACTTCTTTTTATTATTGCAAGAAATCAATGTAAAAAGGTGTTGTCAGATGCTAATATCCAATACTTTCAGTTTACTAAATAATTACTAAATAAAATGTATTTTATCTCAAAAGTTTTAAAGACTTTTGGAAAATCATCAACATTAACAATGTTGATGATTTACCAAGTGTCATTAACAAAGGTTTATCATTCCTTATTTTCATACATGAAATAGATATATTTATGAAATAGATATATTTACATAAATGAAATAGATATATTTCTATAGATGAGGCAGAATAATTTGCCTTCGAATTGAATGGTCACACTCTTCTTGCCATTTTAGTTAAACAGGTTAACCCATGGTTGGACATCCATATCACTGCAGCTTCTGTTGCTTAAGTCCTTCCTCAATTAAACTCATCTAATGCTTGTGGTACTTACAGGGTAAAGTATGAGGAACACTACAAGGTACGGTGCAAAGTAAAGTACAGGGTAATGTACAGGGTTTCATAAGTAATTAAAAAACTTCATAAATTAAATAAGTTTTAGTTAGGGAGTATTAAAAAAGTGGTTTATATAAAAAAAAAAATTCATTATCAAATATATTTACATTAATATAACAAATAAATTTACATTAATATAACTTTTAAATAATTTATGCCTGTAATTTTTTCATAAAATATATGTTCAATCTGTCTATTGTGCTTTATTTATATACTGCATATTTAGGTCTGCACAAAACATCACTGAAAGTGCAATACTGAAATTGAAAAAAGGGAGGGTTTCAGTACATACATTGATTGAAAGTTTGCATTTAGCAGGCAGTACCTATGTATAAAAAACATAATAAAGCAGGCAATACCTATGTATAAAGAACAAGGTAAAAAACCCATTTTAATTTAATCTGAAAAGTGTCTAGTTATAATTTGCTATTTACACAACATATTTTTTTGTAAATATCAAAGAGTAGTCATGAACAGTATGATTTTTACCTTAAGGTGCAAACTATAAAAAAATTTATTGTGTTATAAAATGAAAAATTTATAAACTTTTTTTTAATATATTAGTAACAATTTTAAGCCAAAAATTTAATTTTATCTTAAGCTGGTAGCAAATAATAGTTCATATAATTTTTCTAGGTCCCCTGAAATTTTTTCAATATTGTTACAAATTTAAAAAAAGAAAATTAACTTTAAAAAAAACTTAAATTCTACTTTTTAAAAATATATAACAGTATTAGTTGAAATAAACCGAAAACAACAAAAAATGAGGTTTAGAAATGTAAATTTTTGTTTTTAGGAAATGCAAATCGTTCGGATCTCTCCTTAACTACGCTGAGCATGAAAATTTTGCTAACTTACCCTGAAAATGCCTTTTCTCAATAAACAACCTGAATAACAACAACTATTGAAAAGTAAACTGACTGGAATTAGTAAAACAATAACTAGAATTTTTACAATTTTTTTTCATAAAACCTACTACATTCTTTATAAAATAAAATAAAAGCAATGCTCCAAAAGTTTTTTTGTTCAAAAAACACCTAAATTCCAAAATCTCCTATGCGCATGCCCAAACTCTTACAATACTTTAGTGAAAGATAAAATAGTTTATTGGGGATATTCCATATAATTTCTATTAGATTAATGGCTCTTAAGATAAACGCAATTTGTAAACTTACACCTTCTGCCAACTAGCCTCACTCTTCCCTACATTAAAAAAACTCAGCTTTTTGAATATATTCAAATTATAAATTTAGAGCTCGAATTAACGCAAAAAAAATCTAATCGCGAAAAAAAAAAAAAAAAATTTCCCAATCCCCTCCCCTCCCCTATATTATCGCTCATATTTAAATATAATCTTATAATTTTCTTGTTCGGCAGAGTTTAAAATAGCGTAAGTTACTGTTATTATTTACAACTTAAGTTATAACTTAAAGTTTAAGTTGCAGTTCTAATAAGCAATAACGTTTTTAATACAATTAAGATATTTCTTTAAGTATATTTTTTACTTAAAATGATACTTAAAAAAGTAAAAGTAAAAAAGTAGAGAAAAAGCGACATTGCAATATCTAAACCACTTTAATTAGTCAAAGAAAACTATTTAATACGTTCGTGCTGACGTTAAAAAGCGTGTTAATTTTAAAAAGTATTTAATTGTTAAAAGCTATAAAACAACATTAAAACAAACTGCAAAGTTGTTTTAAAAATATAAAGAGCTTGGGTTAATGTAAAACAAATTCGTAACGCTGTTTCGTGTTGATTTATACAATTTATTAAAAAAAATGTGTTTAAAATAAAAGGAAGCAAATAAATAAATTTGATCTAGTTAATAAACTAAAACAAAACTTTATATTTGCGCCTATAGACCTATACAAGTTTATAATCTATAGACCAAACGAGTAAGATCAAAGCATAAAAACATTAGATATCACGTCTTTTATAAATTATTGTTTCCTGATCAAGTGTGCTATTAAAAATTTAATTATAATTAAGTTTTTCATTTTTTATGGTTTTTAAACAGATGTTTTCATTCAATTTTTTTTTTATTCTAATTGTTTTCCAAAAAAAAGTGAAACGAAAAATTTTGTTTAGTAAATCGAATCATATTAAGTATAAGAATATGCTTAAATTATTTTTTTAGAAAAAAGTTTTTTCAAACAGAAGTAAAATAATTTATTAAATTTTTTATAATTCTTATTTTAACTTGCAATTTGCAATCACTGCTTTGATGTTTGCAATAGAATGTTTCTACTTTTAAAACTATTTTCATGAAAAAATATATAATTCAAAACATTAAAAAAATTTACGATTTAAGAAAAAAAAACTTTCTTCTTCATTTTCCCAAACTTTTTTTAAATTTTTAAATTTTTTTAAGTTTCAAATTTTAATCACAAAATTATTTGAATAAGTGAATTTTAAGGCTAAAGTTCTCTTGTTCAAAAAGATTTCTTTTTAAATAAAATTCCTGAAAACAATTGTGTATTTATAGAAAATGTTTAGTCTAGATGTCGCTATAAATATAATGAAAATATAAAAAAATGGTGTCGCATTTTTTAAATTCTATTCGACAATTTTTGGTAAAATAATTATTAGCTAAAAGCTTATATTATGTGTTAACAACATGTAAGATCTAAATTGAAACATGTCTATGAATAACTTTTGCGAGTATATTAAATAAATTAATATAATTGTTAAATTAATACTTGGGTAACTGTAAGTTACTATCTTAACTTAACTGGTTGTTTTGATTTAGGTTATAAGTTAATTCACTGTGACATATTTTATCTATTCAGTAAAGTTAACTAAATATAACTTCAATAGTTTCAAGGTCGTTAAAGCAAAAAACGTAAAGCAAAAAAGTTGCTGGTTTCTTTTAGCACAATTTTACTAATTATATATAATTTATATATATATATATATATATTATTATACTTAAAGTAGTAAAAATAATTATATAAAATTGTTTGTAAAATAGTAATTTAAATCATTATTATTAATTTAATTTAGAGCTACGTTTCTTTTTAAAAAAGATAAAAATGCTGTTTTGTTAAAAAAAAAAGAATGAAGAAAAAATTCTTTTTAACTTTTGTCTTTTTAATTTGCTTCGCAGAGATTTAAAGTAATTTAAATTAAAAAGTGCTTTACATTGAATAAAAATCTCTGTGCGAAAGAGCAAATGATCATGCTTCTATTCAAATGACAAACTTTGCGTGACATACTTTACTATGAAAACATTACTTTTAAGAATACCAAAAAAAAAAAGTTAAATTAGAAAAATAGTAAATAAACAACTAAAAAAGTAAACTAATCGCGAAAATATATGTTTTAAGAAAAAACTAATTGCGAAGGTGTAAAAAGCAACCACGATTCGCGATCGCGATATGCTTAATTCGAGCCCTGAAATTAATTTATTTAACTATATCATATTTATGATATTCTTGACATTTTTTATGGAACTTTTAACTTAGATTAAAAAAAAAGAAACCATGGTTCAAGAACTGTTTTAAAAATTTAAAAATATAAAAAAAAAATTTTTAATAGATTAATAATCTTGGTGTCTGTAGAAATAAAACAATAAATAAAATAAAATAAAAAAAATAATAAACAATAAATAAAATAAACAAATAATAAAAATTATTAAAAACCTGTGGTGGCAAATCTGGACTCTCACACACAAAACCATCAGGACAGGGTTTACAATCCATTTGCGCAAGAGCAGAATAAGTTCCAGGCTCACATGATTCAACAGTATTGTTAACTAGACACTTGAATCCAGCAGGACAATATGTGCAGGAAATTGATCCTTCACCACTGTATGAACCTGCAGGACAATCCTAAAAAAATGACCATGAATTGTGCAAATTTTATTTAAAAAATCATTGACATCAACTAGAAAACTGATCTGAGAGACAAAACATTTTGATTTTATTTATATGGGCAAATCATCCTGACATTTAAAAAATAAGAAAGACAGTCTTTTTAGAATAGGACTATTTTTCTTATTTAATCAGCATTTTTTTATTAGGAATGTTGGTCTTTTTTAATCAGCATTTTTTTATTAGGAATGTTGGTCTTATTTAATCAGCATTTTTAGGAATGTTGGACAAGATAAAAATAGAACTGTTCAAAACAGTAATTCCATACTTTTTAACTAGCTGTGAGTTTTTAACTTCTATAAATAATGATAATAAATTAATTCATTTATTACTCTTAAGTTTGAAACTGTTATAAAGCTTTATACAAATTTATTTACTAACAATGCATGAATCTTCAAAAACAGCTGAAACTAATGGATTATATGTACCAGCAGGACATGGACGTGCAGGATTAGATAATCCTTTGCAACTAAAAAAAAATATTTTCAAATTTAAAACACTTATCTAAAAACATTTTACAAATGTTTTTGTGTAACAATTACATGAATCCTGAAGGGCATGGTGAGCATCCTGAAGAATCTTTCCAAACCATTCCAGCTGAACAATTTGCAAAAGAACATTTTGAAAAATCAAATGATGACGCATCTAAAAAAAATAGAAAACAAAATTTTATAAAAAACATATTTACTACAAAATTAACCAAGGAAAGGTAGTGGTGTAAGGTGCAAGGTGTGCTACCAATTAGAGCCCAAATAGTTTTATACAGCTCAACAGCCTGCAGTTTCAGGTTGGCATTCAACAATCCCGACACAAAAGTCGACCTATCGCAGCTTAACGACAGCTTTCAACTGCCTACCAGTATCTTTTAAAGTGTCAGCATGCAAAAATAAAAAAATATGTATTATTCTTTTGTTACACATTCATAATTTATATAACTGTAATTACATTTTTTTATTTTGAAAAAAAATTTATTCATTATTTTTTAATTCACTTTTTTGTTTTTTCTCAAATTTATTCAAGCATAGCAAAGTTATTTATTTAAAAGATAATAAAATTTACTTTTCAAATGTCTGTTGTTATCAGGCTTTTTTTACTTGAAATTTTAGCGCAGTTTATTAAGTTCTAAAATCTAGTTTATTTATTTTATTTGTTAAAACTATTCATTTACATGTTTACGATTTTTTTAATATTATTTAGGATCAGAAAGTCTATGAAGTTTAGTTTTGGTATAATTATGTTTAATACATTTTAATTTTAAAAAATTAAACTTTTTTTAAATATGATTCATAAAGTTTTTCATAAAGATTTTGGACCATACAAAACAATATACTAAACAAAAAGAAACGTGATAGTTGCTCTAAAGATTGAAATAAGAAAAAATAACTATTTTTAGTATTATTTTTTTTAGATTCATACTTTGCTACAATTTCAGAGTATTTTTTTTATTAAAAAATGGAAAACAACTACTGTAGTAAATTCGTATTCCCTGTAGAACCGCATGTAAACTGTAAATGGGTGTAAACTTTTTTTAAACAAATTACTCTTAACAAAATTTTCACATACAGTACATAAAAAAAATTTGTATTTCTAAACTGTAAAAAATGTAATAAATAATCTGCTTTTTTTTAAATGACAACTTTTAAAACTTTTTTTTAAAAAAAAAACAACTTCAAAACAAAAAAATCATAAATTTGCTATATACTTACATAAAGTTTAATTGATACATGCATTAAAATATTTTGTCTAAAGCTATGCTACTATAAAGCAATGCTTTTACAATCAGTTAATCATTACCCCTTTCGTATCAGAAAGCAAAAAATCTGAACAAGTTGTTTGTTGACCTGAAGACAACTTAGTACAGCACTCTTGTGCTGACTTGAAATTTCTTTGAATTTCAGATGGGCACAAGAGTGCCATACAGCACAAGAGCACACCATTTTCACATTTATTCTACAAATTCAAAATGCTTTTCTAAATCAATTTGAAATGTATAACATCAGAAAATTAAACTAAAAAGTATTTTAAACTACATTTTTATTTTTAATAATTGATTGGTGGTTATATATATATATATTTTTTTTAATTTTAATTCACCTCCTCAAGGCCGAGAAGGCCACTACAGACGAGGAGGCTACTTATTTGTGGCTATAACCCTCTCTCAACTCTATAACTCCGAAACACGAACCTTGATGAACAAGGCCGCTGCGCGGAGAAACAAGTTGAGCGCGGTACTACTAATGGGGGACGTGGTGAGGATCGAACTCCGAACCACTCGTTTATGAAGCGAGCGCTCTACCACTACACCACTACCGCATATTAACACAACAAATTAATATTATTCTGCTTTTTTATGTATAAATATATAAATATATATATACATATATATAAATATAATTTCATGGAATGAGGAATACTGACATGAGCATAATTAACAACTCTACCTTAACTTAATAAAATTATTTCAAAAACTGAACAAATTCCTATCAAAATACAATCAGTTGATAACATTACTCATCAAGAAAGCAACCCTCGGTATTGCCGAATGCCGACCTAACTGCCAACCTGAAAGTGTTTGAGGTGGGCAAAAAATTGCCGACCTTATTTCTATGTTTTATGGTCAGAACTTTGTATCAAATAATTTTTGCAGACCTCAAAAAAATTGAGGTTGGCAAATTATTGCTGATCTCATTTTTCCTAATTCCGAGGGTTGAGAAAGGATAGCTTTAAAAGAAATCAAAAGAAAACTAGGGGCTGGAGGGATGTGCCCCACTTTTTTGACCAGAATCTTGAGATGGATTTGTATATTCTGTATCTTCCAGACTAGTTGGAGCTTTGAAACTTTCAGCATTTGTGTAGTCCTGATGAACATGCATTAAAATTGTTTCAGGTCAGACGACCAGAAGGTCCATGGGGCTGGGGCACCGGGGACCATGCCCCACTTATTTTCTCATAAAAAAAATTTTTTTTTTTTTCTTCAACACATTTAAGATAACTTTGAAACTATTGTCTTCAAAATTTTTTTTTAGATTTTTAACAACGTTAAACATATCTTTGAAAACATTGCTTTACAAATTTTTGTGATTTATATTTGTTCAATTTGGTTTTTGATCATTCTATGTTCAATGATCTTTTTTAAAATGTTTTAAGAAAGTTAATGTTTATAAGAACTTTGATTTGCATGTATAAGATTAAGAACAGTCTAAAATAATGGTTTTAACAGAATTTTATTTTGTATAATTTAAAATTACTATTGGTTTCTCATTTTTAAATTAATCTCAAAATGTGCCTTCATCATGAAAAGATTTTCGGTACACACTTTGAAAAGAAGCACACAAAATGCTGTAATTAATTGGACAAGCATAAATCAAAAAAAAAAGCAATCAAAGGTAAATATTGTTGATAAAAAATTATTGTAAAATTTTTTTTGAATAATGAAATTAAAATCTACTAGTTTATACAAGTTTGAAAAAAAGCTGATCTGGTTATGCAATATATATTGAAATAAGTACAAATAATTTTCATATTCATAGGTAATAACTAAAATCAAATTGTTCTTTTCTTTTCAGGGAGTCGTGTAATAACATTAGACATGGCAAAACAATTGAGAATTAATTTTCCAAATGTTGTGCCTGGATATCAACTTTGTTGGAGCTGCTTTGATCTATTTTTGAATCTATTTCATGTGCTACTTCTGAAAAGTCACGAGAGGCATTAAATGTTAGTTTGGAAACAATAGGTGTATCCCCCATAAAACTTCATGGCATTCCAAAGCATCAATGGCTATCTGTTGCTAAAAGTAAAGTTATAAAAATAATGTCAAAGTATGAAGAGCATATTTCAAAAGTATATAATGTTAGGGAAGAAGAACTGAAACATAAAATTCCTCACACAAAAATTATTAACAAAAGTAAATGTGATGATTTAGATAAACTAACAGCAGAAATAAAAGAAAAGTTAATTGTTTCTGACCAAAAAACTAAAATTCAGTTGTTAACATTTACACCTGAGTCTTGGTCAAGAAATTTTGCTGCAAGATATTTCAACGTCACTATATACCAAATTAAAGAAGCGCGCAAACTAAAGAAAATAAGTGGGATTTTTTCAGTTCCAGGCACTAAGAAAGGAAAAACATTTTCAGAAATAACATTAAATAGAGTCAACAATATATACCATGATGAAAAATTTACTAGACAAATGCCTGGTAAAAAAGATTACCTAAGTATTGGTAGAAAACAACACATGCAAAAGTGCCTTATTTTATGTAATCTTAAAGAACTTTATGTTTCTTTTAAAACTAAATATCCTCAATAAGTTATTGGATTTTCTAAGTTTTGCAGTTTAAGACCGAAATGGTGTATAACTGTTGGAGCATAAGGCACTCATTCTGTTTGTGTATGTACCCCCCATCAAAATGCAATACTCTTGACCAATGCTATACAAATGAAATGTACTTACAAAGATATGATGACAAAAGTTGTTTGTGATGTGACAAGTAACGAGTGCATGGTTCATCGATGTCCGAACTGTCCAGGTATAGTTTCTTTAAAGAAGTTTCTGGATGCACAACTAATTGACAATGACAATGACGAGGAGGTGTCATTCAATCAGTGGCAGAAAACAGACAGAACAACATTGATCTATCAGATAACAACAATTAAAGAATACAAACTGATGTTATCAGAGGCAATAAACAAGTTAACAGCTCATTCCTACATTGCAAAATGTCAATCAAGATACCTAAAGCAACAAAAGGAAAATTTAGCAAAAAACTGCTGTATTGTCTTAGTTGACTTTGCAGAAATCTTCACTTTTGTGATTCAAGATGAAATCCAAAGTTACCATTGGTGCAAAAGTCAATGCACATTGCACCCCGTTGCCCTCTAACTATTAAACAAAAATGACCAACTTGAAGATAAATCGTTTTGCTTCATGTCAGAAGATAATGAGTATGACACTGGTTTTGTGTATGAAGTTCAAACACAAATAGTTAACTACTTAAAAGAATATCACCCTAAAATTTCAAAGATTCTTTATTTTTCTGATGGTTGTGCTGCACAGTATAAAAACCACAAAAACCTTTACAATATCTGTTTCCATAAAAATGATTTTGACATTGATGCAGAGTGGACATTTTTTGCTACAAGTCATGGTAAGTCATCATGTGATGGTATTGGTGGCATTGTAAAACGATTAACTACAAATGCAAGTCTACAAAGGCCCATAAATGACCAGATATTGAATTGTAACAAAATGTTTGACTACTGTACTAACAATATTAAAGGGATTATTTTTTTTAAGATTGAAAAAGAAAGACTGACAGAATTGCGCACCACTTTGAAAACAAGTTTTGAGCTAAGTAGAACAATCCCTGGAACTAGGAGCTATCATCAATTTAAACCAGAATCTATAGATACTATTAGCTTTAAACGAACAAGTGAAGATGTTCATATAACAGGCATTTTTTCTTTTTCTGGTATTCAAAGTTCTCAAAATGATCAGAAAATTAACATTGATGCCTTAAAATTTGATGAATTCATTATGTGTAAATATGATGCGTTTGATTGGATTGGTATGATCAATGAAATTGATAATATAAAGCAAGATGTTATAGTAACGTTTATGCACCCAAAAGCTCCTTTTAATAAACTTTTCTGGTCATCTAGAGTAGATGAGTGTTCCAATTACCAACATAACTTGTATAATTGATGCACCTGTAACAACAAATGGACGTTTGTATACTTTGACCGTCAATGCATCTAAGCTAATCTTAGCATTATCTTGACTATTTCTTTTTTTTTGTATTTTATTTTGTAAATAATGAAGTAAAACAGAACAAGCATAAAGCAATAGAATTTTTGAATACAATATTTTCAAAGTTATCTTAAATTTAAGACACATTTATGTGTTTAAAAAAAAAAAAAAAAAAAATTTTTTTGAGAAAATAAGCGGGGCATGGTCCCCAGTGCCCCAGCCCCATGGACCTTCTGGTCATCTGACCTGAAACAATTTTAATGCATGTTCATCAGGACTACACAAATGCTGAAAGTTTCAAAGCTCCAACTAGTCTGGAAGATACTGAAAAATCCATCTCAAGATTCTGGTCAAAAAAGTGGGGCACATCCCTCCAGCCCCCTCTACTAGTGTCTTGGGCCCTTTTTTTAAGTTTAAAATGCACATTTATTGACACTACATAAATACCAAAATTTTCATTGTTCCAGCTAGTCTGAAAGGTAGTGAAAAATGTATGGCAAGATTCCGCCACAAAATAGTGGGGCCTGTGCCCCGTTAACCATATATGGAAATCCATATACTTGCAGATCAAAATTTTTATGTTTTCTGAAAGATCATTAAACATAGAACAATGTGTACAATTTTTTTTTTATATCATCAAGGCCACATGGCTTTCAAAAAATTGCCGTACTCGTTTCGATGTTTCGATGTATATACATATATACATATGTATATATATATATATATATATATATATATATATATATATATATATATATATATATATATATATATATATATATATATATATATATATATATAAACATATGTATATATATATACATATGCGGTAGTGGTGTAGTGGTAGAGCGCTCATTTCATAAGCGAGAGGTTCCGAGTTCGATCCCCACCAAGTCCCTGGTAGTACCACGCTCAACTGGTTTCTCCACGCAGCCGCCTTGTTCATCATGGTTCGTGTTTTGAAGTAATAGAGTTGAGAGAGGGTTATAACCACAAATAAGTAGCCTCCTTATCTGTAGTGGCCTTTTTGGCCTTGAGGAGGTGAATTAACAAATATATATATATATATATATATATATATATATATATATATATATATATATATATATATATATATATATATATATATATATATATATATATATATATATATTAGGAAAAAAGAGATAGAGAAAAGGAGGTCGGCAAATTATTGTCGACCTCCTTTTCTCAATCTTTTAGAGGTCGGCAAAAATTATTTGATACAAAGGTCTGACCATAAAACATAGAAACGAGGTTGGCAATTTTTTAAATGACAGTTAGGTTGGCATTTCCGAATGCCGACCCTAATTCCGAGGGTTGTATATATATATATATATATATATATATATATATATATATATATATATATATATATATATATATATTTGTACAGCAATGGGATTTAGCAGATAATATAGTTGGACTATCTTTTGACACAATTGCTTCAAACTCAGGGTGGTAGAATGGTGCATGTCTAAAAATTGAAATTCTTTTAGAAAAAAAGTTGTTTTATTTTGCATGCAGACACCGCATACTGGAAATACTGCAGAGAGCAGCCTGGCAAGCGTTATTTGGACGTAATCACTGCACAAACAATTAATACTTTAAAGAGTTTTAGGAAAAATGGGACTCTATCTTGGACAAGGATGACTTCAAATGCTTAAATGTTAAAGTCAGAAATATGTTGCTACAACAAATTTCTGCAATTTCTATTTTCAAAGAGCAACTCAAGAATAAGAATTTCAAACTAAGAGATGATTACAAGGAATGCACAGAACTTATGTTAATTTTACTTGGCAAAATTCTAGATAGAGGTGTACATTGGCGGCCTTTCATCATGCAATGTTGTCAGTGATATACGCTGCTAAAATGAACCTCCTTAGAGATTTTATGGACTATAATGAGGTTACTAGCTTTTTATGGGCTATAATGAGGTAGCGAAACTGAGAGATATATGTCTTTTTAATGCTCTTGTGTATGTCAAGTACTGGTTAACATGCCCCCTTGGAGTTGATGCTTGTTTTAATAACTTGAAATTTTTCAATGAATTGCAGGAATTCAAAATCATCAACAAGGAAATTTCAGAAAGCATCTCAAGAATATTTAAAAATCATTTTTGGTATTTAATCGAGGAGATTGCAGTTTTTTTATTGTTTTCAAAAGCATTGTCTGACAATGAAGAAAAGAATATTATTAAGAAACACTAATTCTACCAATGTGGTGAGCTCAAAAAGGTACACCAGCCTTTCCTGTAATGACAAAAAATACAAAAATTCCATCATTGATTGGACAAAACTCTTGGCTTCTGTTTGAAATCCTTAGTGTGAACACTGAGTGGATGAAAACTCCTGTCCAAACATGGGAGGAGAACAAAGACTATCTTAAAGCAATGGACTTTTTAAAAATTTTAGAGTTGTTAATGATGTTGCTGAGAGAGGTATAAAATTGATGCAGAAATCGCATTTGTGAGGGACAATGAAAAGACTTTTCATTATCCCTCACAAAAGATGTTAGGTTTAACATTTTGGGTTGAAATTTGAAATTTAGAGTTTTTATGCTACCCATCAACAGAAAACAGCCAGGAAGATCGACATTTTTTAACTTTAGTTTTTTCGGAACACTTTAATATATATATATATATATATATATATATATATATATATATATATATATATATATATATATATATATATATATATATATATATATATATATATATATATATATATATACTGGGAGAAGCTGTTGAGGCCTGACATTTTGTTACACTCTTTATTGAATTATTATTCATTCTTAAGTTATTAACATTTTATTAGTTTAATTTATTATTAGTTTTAGAAACATGTTTCTAATTTATTATTAGTTTTCTGGACCTTTAATAGTACTTTATTTTTTATTTAAGAACTATACTTTAGAATTAAAACCAAAATTATTTCTTTTTCAAAATTATTACTTTTGTAAAAATGTTTCTAAGTTATTAGTATTTGTTATAGTGGTCTTGAAATCAACTTCTTTTTTGTATAGAAATTACTAATAATGGTAAACAAAATTTTAAATAATAATCTATAAGATTAGCAAAAATTTAAATACCTTGACTGCTTAAGAACCCATAATATTTTTTATTTTCGTTCTATATAATTACAAACCAATTATAACAAGCCTACAAATTTTATTTACAAAAGCAAGTTTCTTGATAACAATTCAAACCTTAAATTCAAAAAATGAAAACCTTAAATTTAAAGAAAACATTATTCGTTACAACAACATTGCATGATTCATCATACAGCCAAGTCTTATATGTTTACTGAAACTAATTTCTTCTTAAAAACTATCCTGCCTTCATGTATTCCTGACTCAATACAATTTACAGTTTTTAAGTCTTATATCAGGAGCCAAAGAGTTAAAGAGCAAGAAAGCAGTTGGCAAAGATAAAGAAAACATTAAACTGTGTGAGTCAGGAAAACATCAAGATAGAAGAGAATTCCAAGGCACTTTTTTTCGAGAGTTTGAAAGTTTGAGAGTAAATATAGATAAATAAAAGGGTTGGAAAATAGAATCAAGAGTAAGAAAATGGCAAACACAATAAAGAGATAAAAGCAACCTTGCCAGATACTAACTTTATACAATTTATAACTGTATACAATGATTTGTATACTTGGTTTCGATAAGAGGTCATTATTAAAGGTTAGTCTAACATACAGCAGAAGACTCATTAAAGATGTTGCAATTCATTAATATTGTAATATTAACAATATTGAGTTAAGATATGTAGGTCCTTGATTAATCTGAATGAGGGCTTATAGTAATCTTTACAAATAAAAATATTTTTTGTTTTCAATTATATTTATAGTTTAAATATTTCAAACCAGCTCAAATATATTTTTCTTTACGAATATTAGAAATATATATATATATATATATATATATATATATATATATATATATATATATATATATATATATATATATATATATATATTTATATATATATATATATATATATATATATATATATATATATATTATATATATATATATATATATATATATATATATATATATATATATATATATATATATATATATATATATATATATATATATATATATATATATATATATATATATATATATATATATATATATATATATATATATATATATATATATATATATACATTTACTTATACACATTCAATAGCATTCCGTTATCGTTGATATACCTGACTTCTTTATGTAAAAACACAATTTTAAAAAATATATACATTTCAGCCAAAAAATAAATTTTAAGTCTCTCATGATAAGGAGATTTTCTTATTAAATTTTTTTTTTTTTTTTTTTACCTTTTTCAACATTTTTTAGCAACAATGTCAACAAAATATTTTTACGCTCTCGAACATGTGCAATAAATGATACAAAATATTGCTAATAGTACAAGTTTATAAAAATAGGATTGGTTAGAAAAACTTTAAAGCTTTTTCGTACTTGTACTTAACTAAACACAGTTAATAAATTTGTTAATTTTATTTCCTTGACAACATAGGAATTCTTTTTAGTAAATAAGAGGTGTAAAATAATATGTGTGAAAATAGAGGTAGAGATAATAGGTGTTTCCAAACTTTAAGACAAACAGTTTTTTCAAACTTTAAAAAAAATCTAGCACCAAATGATAAATCCTAAACTTTGAAAAAAAAAATTTTTGCTAAAAAAAGGTCGGGAAGTCCGTTTCACTTTTGACACTAACAATTCATTATTTTTTTAATCATTATTAATACTCTTGAGTTATATAGAATGGTGTCAAAAAATATTAGTCTTATTTGTAAACATTTTTAAAAACTTAATTTTACCATTTTACTCCTTAGTCGATCACATGTTACGAAGTGTCCCTCCACTTAGTAATCAAGTTTTTTTTTTTTTTTTAGTTTTTATTTAATGTATTTCAATAATATAGTTTACATTTTTGTCTTTATAACTTGTTGCTGGTGATTACTGGTGATTACTATTTACTGGTGATTACTGTTATTAACGAAATTGTTTATTTCGGTAAGAGGATCCATTTAATCAACTTTCTCATTGCTTTTTTTCGAGTATTGTGTGCAATTGTATTTTTGTATTTCAAGTTTTTATATCCGGTTATAAATCTCAGTTATTTTTAGTTTTTAAATGTGCAAAACTTCAGTTTTTTAAAATGTTAACTTTTTTTTTCGTCTTTTTTTTTTTTTTATTTTATTTAGGTGCCCTAAGAAGTCCTTACGACCTAAACACAGAGCACCACGATGAGCATTTAATTGGACGTTCACGTCTCCTTTCTAACCGATGTTGCAAAATTTGCCCAGGTGTGGGATTTAAACCACGGATTTGTTTCTGAGGCAAGTGCGCTACCACTGCGCCACGGCTGCTCCTTTTAACTATCTCAAAGTTCGTTCATCTGTTTTAATAAGTTGACACCTTTTTTTTCTTCTTCTTCTTTTAAATCGTCTCAAATGATACTGAATAATAGCTGTTTTAACCAATGTGTTCCGGTTGGATAATTTTATTTATTTATTTTTCTTTATTTGTATATACATACATACACTTACACACATACATATAAATATATACACACATACATACATTTTGTATATATAAATTTTTCTCTTTTTTTTTTAATATATATATACAGTTTTACATTTACAAATATTGAAATTTTTATATATATAATCACCATACCAATAAGAATAGCAATAAAAAGAAATACACCTTTTCAAGATGTAATTGAGAAAACAAAAATTGTAATTAAGAATCGTAAGATGTAACTGAGAAAACAAAAGTTGTAATTAAGAAACGTAAGATGTAATTGAGAAAACGTAAGTTGTAATTAAGAAACATAAGATGTAATTTAGAAAACGAAAATTGTAATTAAGAATCGTAATATGTAATTGAGAAAATGTAAGTTGTAATTAAGAAATAGAAAGATGTAATTGAGAACACGAAAATTTTAATTTAGATATCGCTTTAAAGGAGTAAGTGTAAAATGGCGCTTAAAAAAATTGGCGCGTAAAAAAATGGAGCGTATAAAATGACGCACTTAAAAATGACGCAAGATTTTGAATTTTTGGGCAAATGAATTTAACATAATAAACACTAAAAACATTTTAGGGAAAAATTTATAATTCAATTAAAAATTATAATTTAAAATTATATAATTTAAAATCACTTCATTGATCATTTAAGCACCAACTTGTACGTCTTCCATATTTAAAATAGTTGCATAGTGCGTGGTTGTGTGTTGTACCGCACGTGCACAATCTCCTCCCATTATAGTATTTTTCGCCTCAATTACAATTCGTTCTAAGTACTGCATGCGCTGTTCCGCAACCCCGTCACCTAATACAGGTGAAATGCGAATTGCATTTTTAACGTTACTTTTAATTTTGGACCAGATCGTTTCCACCGGGTTCAACATTGGACTGTAAGGTCCCAAACGTAACAACTGAGCTGGTGAATTATCAAACACCCTTTGCAAACGAGCGTGACAAGGAGCATTATCCGTTACGACGACCAAATCCTCCAAACGATTCCCGGATGTAACCCACTGGTGAAACATAGCCAACATCCACTCGTTACAGGAATCTGCTTTAAATGATCCCCTGCGAGTCTCTATCATGACGAAATTTGTAGTTGAAATAGCTGCGATCAAGTGTATGTTTAAACCTTTTGAAGCAGGTACTTTCATAATTGCTCTTTTTCCTTGTCTCGCGCGTCCTTGCGTTGTTCTACAAAAAAGATTAAAATTTGTTTCATCCAACCAAACTATCTGACGACCATTTGTGATATGTTTGTTGATGTTTCTAACATATTCAGCTCTTTTTTGTTTGTTTTTATAACTGTTCATTGTAGAAGGCTCCTTGTGCACTTTTTTTAATGAGAACAATCTGCCTTCGAGGTAATTTGCTATTGTTGTTGTGCTAACGTTTATGTTAAATTGTCTTAATATCTTTATTTTGATGGCCACCAATGTTAATTGACAATCATTTTCAATCCATGTTAATGTTTCTTCGATTTGATCTTCGGTTAACTTTTTCGGTTTAAAACCTCCTTTTCCGATGAAATTTGAATTTCCGCTGCGAACCCAATTGTATGCTGTCTTATATTTGATACCTAGCGTTTGCGCGAGATTCACCCAATCTTCAAATCGCTCCGCACATTCAACAAATCTTCTCCTGTCATTTGGAGAAGATAAAACGTAACGTTTCCTTTCTACTTGATCAGTTGTGTGTATTTCATGCCGACAAATCGGACAACTTGAATCTGGTTGTTCCAGAACTGGACGTAAACAAATTTGGTGACATAAATGTTGACACGGATTTAGCTTAATCACAGACTTTCGGGTCATAGTGTATTGGCATATAACACAACGATCTTTCAATTCCATTATTATTACTTGTGCATACAAAAGCAAAATTTAAGATTATAACTTAAATTCATGTCCAAAAGACCTTTTGTAACAACCTACAAACTTAGACTGTGAATTTGCTATTTTAATTTATGTGTTCTCAATTACAAGTTACGATTTCTCAATTACATATTATGATTTCTCAATTATATTTTACGTTTTCTCAATTACATGTTGTGTTTCTTAATTACATGTTACGACTTCTTATTTACATGTTGTGTTTCTCAATTACATATAACGTTTTCTCAATTACACATTGTGTTTCTTAATTACATATTACGACTTCTTAATTACAACTTTCATGTTCTCATATACATCTTGAAAAGGTGTTGACTAATTTAAATAAAAACTTGGTATTTGATAAAAGATCTAATGATCTTGTCGTTTATTATAAATTTCTTATTTGATTTATTTTAAAGTATTTCAAAATATTGTCATTAAAAACAATGAATTCTTTTAATTTCATCTTAAAGACTGGAAAACTAACTGATAAATCAAAATTAGGTAAAACGACTTTGTTCCAGAGATTAGGTGCACGATAAGCTGTACAGAACTGATTGAATTTTGTTCGACAAAAGGGTTCATAGAGTAAGTTATCATATCGTAATGTATACTTATTTTTTGTTTTTAAGGTAATAAAATCTTTAAAAATGTGTAATGACGGATTGATTTTACATTGAAACATAAAACATAATATTTTATATACATTCACTTCATAATTGTTAAGTACTTTAATATTTTTAAAGACTTTGAATGCATAAGTCGATTTTCAAAACAAACTAAGCGTTTTGCGTGTTTCTGACGACGGTAACGTACTCAACTTACGTAATATTCGCATAGTTAATATAACTATGTATAAGTGAGTAATAGAGTTGGATTAAAATGGTTTTGTTTAAATAGTTTCTTGACTTGAATAGGACTCCTATATTTTTAGAAACCTTAAGAATAATCGTTAATAATTCGTATCATAAGAATAATCGTTAATAATTCGTATCATCAGCAAACATAATACTCCGAAGATTAGCAGCTTTACTTAAATCATTTATATAAATTAAAAACATAAGAGGACCTAGAATAGAGCCTTGTGGAACACCACAGGTTATTTCAACATATTTACTTTGAAGGCCATCGTTAAAGGTAACAAATTGCTTTCTATTTGATAAGTAACTATGAAATCATTTTAGCATATTGTTATTGACTCCATAGTATTCAAGCTTTTTAAGCAATATTTTATGGTCAACAGTATCGAATGTCTTCGAAAGATCAATAAAATCTCCTAGGGTATATTGTTTTTTTTTCGAAAGATTCTGAGATTTCCCTAACAAATTGAATAACTGCGTACTCAGTTGAAATATTTTTTTTAAAGCCAAACTGTTTAGTATATAGTATATTATTTTGGTCAAAATATTTAAATATTTAAAGGCTCTATTAAGCTCGCCGTGAGATAATTCGGAAGAATACTTATTTTTATAATGAAAGTTATTTATGGGACACAAATAGTCTTCAAACGAACTCTCGGTCATAGGAATTTTTTTAGAAAGATTGGTTCCAATTTCAGTAAAAAATTTGTTAAATATGTTTGCAATTTTGCTCGGTTCACATATATTTACATCTTCAAATTTTATACTTTATGGTAAAGAACTTGAGTTATTTTTTGATTTTCCTGTTATTTCTTTTATTATTTGCCAGGTGCGCGTTGTGCACTCGCGCGTTGAGTTGTTTTTAAACTTATTGATCAGATTAGAATAATAATTTTTTTTTAGATTTTTACGAACTTTTTCAAATAAATTTTTATAATTTTCATATATTTTTTCATTTGCAGAAGATTTATTTTTCAAATA